CATTTTTGCTGAGGTATTGACAGGCAAGCCTCTTTTCCCTGGCAAAAATGTGGTTCATCAGTTGGATTTGATGACTGATCTTCTGGGGACACCTTCCTTAGACACAATTTCTAGGGTATGGTAATTGCTTAAAAACTAAATGTTAAGATGCAGTTGTTTTGGAAAGGAGAAAGAAATCTGAAAATTCTCAATGTACATATCCTTCCTGTTCTTTTCTGATTCCAGGTCCGGAATGAGAAGGCAAGGAGGTACTTGGGCAGCATGAGGAAAAAACAGCCTGTACCATTTGGACAAAAGTTCCCAAATGCAGATCCTTTGGCATTGAAACTTCTAGAGAGGCTTTTAGCATTTGACCCTAAGGACCGGCCAACAGCTGAAGAGGTATGCACGTCCAGTTAGATCCATGTCTTCATATCTGTTCTCATGATTTTTTTTCTTGTCGATACTTTTTATAGTATTTATGAGATTTGGTGTGATATATCTAGTAATCTTTATCAGATAGATCAAGTGCTGTCCTCAAAAGTTAACACATCTCCTTCTCATGTACCAGGCATTGGCTGATCCGTATTTTAAAGGTCTTGCCAAAGTAGAGAGAGAACCATCTTGCCAGCCAATCACAAAGATGGAGTTTGAGTTCGAGCGACGAAGGTTGACCAAAGAGGACATACGAGAACTTATCTTCCGTGAGATATTAGAATATCATCCTCAGTTGCTCCAGGACTACATTAATGGAACTGAAAGGACAAACTTCCTATATCCTAGGTTTTATATTTCAGATCCATTTTCCCTTCAGTGTCTAATCATCCTGGTTCTGACATTATCATGAATTGGTAATATTTCCTGCTTTCTGTTTGTGCAGTGCTGTTGATCAGTTTAGAAAGCAATTTGCTCACCTCGAGGAGAATGGCGGTAAAAATGGGCCTGTAATTCCATTAGACAGGAAGCATGTTTCTCTCCCTAGGTAATTTTGATCGTTATTCCTTTGCTTTTTCCATGTATGTAGGTAAAGTTCCAGATTTATCATGATTTAGAAGGATAAAATTCATTTAAGAGTGTAATGTACTACCAGTTGATAAAATTCCAAGATCGTTAACCTTTTCTTCATTCAGAATACTCTAATTCTGTGATGAACATGCTTTTGCAATCGATACACATATTCTTATTCTCGTTGCATGTTGCCTGTAATTTAATTTCTTCATATCTTTATCATCAAATTGCCTCCTGGTAGGTCTACGGTGGTTCACTCTACAACCACCCCCCCAACCGACCAACCAAACATGAGTTCTTCGAGAGATAGGCAAGGCACAGACGAGGCATGCAAGAACCCTCGAGACATCGAAAAGTCATACGGAAGCATAGCAAGGGCTTCACAGGCGGCACAAAGGATTTCGACTGGTATTTGCTCGGATCCAGGATGTCCGTTAGTAGTAACACTGCTGCTACGTGCCGACCGTCTAATATTGTGCTTCTCTTTTCAGCTAGACCAGGAAAAGTTGTTGGTCCGGTGATGCCATACGAAAGTGGAAGTGTGAAGGATGCTTATGATCCAAGACGGTACATCAGGAATGCAGTTCTTCCGCAGCAACCTGTCATTCCTCCAGCATACTGTCATCACGGTAGTGCAGGAAACTTGGAGGCTGATCGGGAATCCATACAGCATAAGTCGCCCCAACCATGCATTCCCGGGAAGGTGTCTCCAGACATAGCTCTTGACATGAGAGCTTCCCCCTTCTATCTCTCAGCAGCCACGGCTGAGCCAGCCGAGAGGAACACTGTGGCGGCAAGCCTGTTGCAGGTGAAATCCCCCTTTAATGGGATTGTCGCAGCAGCAGCTGCTGGTGCTGGTGCTGGTCATAGAAATGTTGGCACCGTTCAGTTCGGCATGACAAGCATGTACTAAGCACCGACAGGGGGGAGACTGTTCCTCGCACTCTAATATTCCATACAGACGTAAAAGATAGCCTACAGGGAGATGACGATGCAGAGGATAGAGGATAAAATGACGAGACTGGGCAAGAGCGATGGAAGCTTCCACTTCGCACTTGCAATTTGTGCTGCGTACTGTAAATGACGGAACACTAAGAAAGGATGGCATGTAAGCACAGCTCTCGTAGAACTGTTCATCTTCGCTTACAGTTTGAAATTGTTTCTTGTTTGACTTCTTTACTCTCTCTCTCTCTCTCTCTCTCATCAGATATTCTTTTAATCTTTAGTTCTCTTTTTCCATATGGTGCTGTATCTTTGATGTAACGTTGCCAGTAATGATTGATGTGACGTAGGTTTTCTTCTTCTTGCAAGTTTAATTTTTATATATTTAAGTATAAAATAAAAAATAATTATTATATTAAATTAAATATCTAATAATTTTGACTTATTAAAAAATAATATGAATCTTAAATCTGATTTCTTTTATTTTGTATTTATTTCTTGTTCTTTGTTGTGTTGAGTGGATGTTGTCAGAGATAATTTATAATAAATATAAAATATTTTTAAACCAATAAAATTTATTCAAACTACTGCATTAGAATATTAATTCATTATTATGGAAGTTGTTAGCTTCAACAGGAATAATTGAAGGAACATCCTCAACTGTCCCCTAGAAATGAAGCCATTGGACTAATGCTTGGTGTAGTGGATCATTAAATCTGAAAAATATTAATAATAATATTATTATTTTATTATTAACTTGTGAGCAAAAAATCTGAAAAATAAAATAAGAAATATTGTTAGATAACTTCATATCATATTGTTACTTATCTTTAGTATCTCAATCATATTTACGCGAGTAAAAGAGTTAAAAAGATAATTTCATAAGATTAAAAATCAAAAGAGATGAGTTTTATTGGAACAATAATATTAAATATTTTATTTTCATAAATATATAGATCGATCGAGATGTTAAAGATAATTAATTATATAAAGTAATCTATAATTAGCCATGATGATACTACTAAACATGTAATTCTTGAAACATGGGTTTGCATGAATTTTTATTTCGACTACGATCAACGTTAATTTTGAATGGAGAATCTCTCTCCCGACATCAACTTTGTGCAGTTAAAGAACAAATCACATTATGCTAGTTTTTTCTTTTCTTGAAATTGGGAAAGGAGATGAATGAAGGAAACTTGAAGCATCTAATTTCAAAAGGACTGAGTTCAGACTTACCAGTGCTGCAGGAAACAATAGAAAAAGGGAAAGAAAAGATAGAAAAAAGAAGATAAAAAAGCAAAGAAAATTGAGAACGATTGAAGATGCCATGTTGATTAGCTACTCTTGCAGTTAAGACTGGCTGCTATGGCTGCTCTACGTTCCGACTCACAGATTCTTCATCTCTCTTTTAAGACATCATCTCTTGGCTGATCAAACTGAAGTGAAGTATGATCGGAGCATGGTGCTCCGTTGTTATCCGCACCAGATCAGATACGTTTGTGGCAGTACCGATGAAATAGCAGCTTTTTAGTCTGACTTGGCTGTACACGTAGTAGCCTAAAGAAGTAGCATGCGGCGGATTGGATGCTACTTCTGAGATATAGCAGTAACATTACTATTTCTTTTAATGTTAATTTGATATTATTCATTCAAATAATTAGGATTAGATAAAATAAAAGATAAGAATTTAGATTAAAATGAATAAATGAAGGTGAAAATTTTTATTGGAGTACATTAATTAAAAAAATTATTCTCTTTCTTTTTCTAAATAAAATTGTAATTCAAAGTACATTAATTAAAAAAAATTAATAGATCCAGAAAAAAAAAACAAGAAGACGATAAGCATTGGAGTAAGTATTCCTAATTAATTTCTTTTTAAATGTAAAGATGATAATTATTAAAGTTAGACCATTAAGATGAAAATTATATTTGTTTCATAAGAATTATAGAATTTGATATAGGAAAATATTGTTTAATATGATGAATAAGATCCTAATATTACTAAGATCGAAAAAATCAAATGAATAAAAATATACAGAAAGGTATAAGAGTGTTCTAAGTTGCTACAACAAGCAATAGATGAGTCTCTATTTTAAAAAGAAAATTAGTTTTTTTTTTAAGATAACTTCAAATTATAACTATTTTGAATTAAGAGGATGTGATAAGATTAGATAAAATAAAATATAAAAATAAACTTAAATAAATAAATAAGAATAAAAAGAGTAATTAGGATATAATATTTTTTTATTATTAAAAATTTTAATCCTAAGTTATATGATAAGACCCTAAAGTCTTATCGTCGCTTTGATACCAATTGATAAGACTCTAAGATCTTATCGTGACTCTGATACGGAAAGCCTAAGATCTTAGAGTCTTATCATTTGATATCGTGACTCTAAGATCTTAGAGTCACGATAAGATCTTAGAGTCTTATCAATTGGTATCCGACGATAAAACTTTAGGATCTTATCATTATACGAAAAGCCTAACATAAGTTACTTCTAAGATATGAACTTTAATAACATATATTAACAGTCTATAAACAAATAAATGCTTTTGACAGCAGTCACTCCAAAGAATCAACAAGAGCTGCCCACTTATTCATGAGAGTTGCAGATCATGATGGATTGTAACTCATCGAAAAGAAAGAGTGATAACCCAGAAAATTCTCAAGGCATTCTCTCCTTGTATCACTCAACCACAGGCACTACTAAGTCATGCCCTGTCGACAAAGATAAGCACAAAAATTCAGGTCCCTAAGAAGCAGTCATAAGTATATAATGATAGTACGTCCCTAACAAGCACAAATGACCATTGTACGTACGTGTGATCTCATAAAGAAGGCATGGAGCCGAATTAATCGAATTGTACTTCCAACTCCATGTATCTACCAAACGAGAACGAGACCAACCATGATAATAATAAGCCCTCATGCCGGTGTTTTGAGTCTATCCCACAATCTAATAGCTTAGGTATTTGGATCGAGTTGGTGTCTACTCAATATATATATATTAACTCTGATGAATTTGGCTCACACTAATCATCAATGGATTTCTAACTCCAAGTCAAGCAAACAAGACTACTCTCCGAATAATAGAGTGAGTTTGGAATTCGATCAGAGTTTCCATGTATAATATACACACACCATGGATTGATTAGACACTGTTCTTGCACTTAAACTACTACGCGCACAAGGAGCGCAAAGGTAGAGAAAAGCATTCATACTATCGTTGGCTGCTGTGATCGAAGGAGGTAACAATGTCCTGCAAGAGACCATAGTCTGGAGTTGGTGGCCTTGGCAAATGCATATTAGGGTTCGTGTATCCCGCCGGGAAGGCTTGCTGCAACAGAAGGTCGTGGCGAAGGTCCATCGGCATCGCCGGTGAGGGTGACGACGAGTATGTGCTGCCCCAGACGTTCACAGGACTGTGATGAGTGTGGTGCCCTTCGTAGGTGGTGATCACGACTGTTGGATCCTGGTGTGATCTCTCCACTCTCTTCTTCACATCGCAACTTTGGGCTGTGCATCGGTAGTAGCTTCTGAAGTCGATGCAGATGTCATCGATTAAAGATGGGTTGGCAAGCAAGATGACGAGTTCATGAGGTGCAGACTGCTCACCTTGGATAAGCGCTGTTCTTGACTGCCTTCTGGCCGTACTTCCTCCACCGATAGCCATCTTCCAGGTGATCCACCTCACTCCTGGTCATGAACGCAAACCGAGGCTCCCTCTCCCTCTTCTCTCCTTTCTTCCTCCTTGGATTGTTCCTGCGCCATCATTTTCGGACAACAGAAACCCATTAGAATCAGTCTCCTGCTCCAATATTTGTATGCATGTTCATCTAATGACTACCTATTCAAGATCCAAGCCAAAAAAAACACCTCACAGTAGAACCTCCAAATCGGAGATCCCTGTGTTCTTGTTACCAAATTGCACCATAGACAGACAGTATTTGAGATTTTTAGATTCTAGATCAGGTACAGATGCTATGATCTAAGTAATTGATGCCCCTCCAAAAGCCAGCTGATCTTATCAAGATAAACAAGAGGAAAAAGAAACCTTTGAATCTCTTGAATGCCAATAGGGAAAACCTAAAAGGTAAGATTTGCTTTGTGAGAGGAGGAGGGAAACCCTAGAGGCAGTGAATTGCCACCCCAATTAGAATAACAACCAAGGGAAGAAGATCACAAGGCGGATCTAACTTGCAGCTGAAGATTTCTTCCCCAAGACACGCATGTAACGCAGTCATCATACGGCGCCTGACAAAACTGTCCGGCATCAAGAACAGAAGAACAATAGCAGCACAGACAATAGAGGGAGCGATCGAAGCCTACGCTTTCTTGAACTCGTCAGGCCCTTCTTCACCCCCCTCCGCCTGCTTCTCCTCCTCTTCCTCCTCCTGCTTCCGCTGATCCGTCTTGCGAGGCCCCGAGTCTTCTTCGCCCACCAGCTCCGTCGATGACGAAGACGTGGAAAAGTTGGGCGTCACCAGAGTCTTCCCATCGCTTCCCCCGGCCGGAGCGGTCTTGCTCCTGCGACTACCTACCACTAGATCATCTGGCTGCGAGCTCGAGAAATCGAAGCCTCGAGCTAGCAGGAGGTAGTCCATCGGCGACCCATGCAAGCGGTCACTCGGGCTCAGGACATGAGACGCCATCTGATGATCGAAACCTTGAAGACCGTCGGCTCTACCACCGCCTGGCTTCTGGGAGAAGATGGAGAAGAGATCGTCGTAGTGGCCATGGAGGTAGGGCTCGGTTCTCTCCCCGGACATGGAGAGAGCAATCAGGGAGAGAAGGAAGCGAATAAAGACTAGCGAGACGGTCTGAGAAAGGAAGGAAGAAAGAGGCTGGCTTTTGTCTTCTTTCTTTTGTTTTGGTGCAAAGATGCGGGCAGATAGATGCACGACTTTGGAACACAACTCCCTAATCTATCAAATGAGGCGATCTCTTCCACCTTTTCCTCGCGCTGCTGTGGGGAAAATATAAGGAATGGTTGACGCCCGCAAGGGAAGAACGGCGACGCGTCGGTGGCAGAGACAAGGCATCGGCTGCCGTCGGTCACGTGGGTCAGAAAGCGGAAACGGCGGTCAAAGTTTCAGACCGTTCCTTCTCCTCCTCTCTCCCTCCTCCGTGGGCCCCATCGATTCCCGCACGTGTTGATTCCATTCCATCGGAGTGGGGGCGGTGCGTAGGGCCGCTAACATCCCTCCGATCTCCATCGGACGTCCCAGATTGCGAAGCGCTTTGAGGGCTCGAAAGCTCTTGCCGCCGACTACAGTCCACATAGCATTTTCCCTCGTCGTACCCGCACTCCTACCTTCTCGGTGATTGGTTGCAGCGAGGACAAAAAAAAAGGCAGAAAGGAAAACATAACCCTAGTGGGGCCCATACGCAACGCGGACATCTTAGATTTTGGTGCATCCGACTCGCGACATCGCACCAACGAAATCTACGATCGATATGTGCTTCTCGTGCAGCGGAGTTGACTGTTACCTGCAAACTTCGTCAGACAAAACAGTCGCATCGATTTCACACATAAATAGATCACATACACACTGCCGCTTACAAGGAACAGTGAGGAATCTGTCGTAGCAGAAACTGTGGCAGGAACCGAGTCATCGTATTTGGTGGACGAATGCTTTAAGGTGAAGTGCGAGGAATATAAATCTTAGGATAAGTTTCTATATCTAAGGTACATAAAGCAACCGTCAAGCTTCTCATGAGAGGATGTCTAGAAAGTCAACCGATTCTCTTCTCCTTCCATATGCACCATTTAGTGTGTGCATCTATATTTATGTACATATAACTGCTATGAAGGTCTTAGATCCCATATATACTATTATACACTGTATTATCATTCCTGACTTCAGTGTGGTTCCGAAAAGGGTTTAGACTAGAGTGCATGTCTTCCTTCATACACGCAGAATAGAGCGGATTCTGAAATGGGTTGGACGCATGGATAGTCTAATGCCATGTCATGTCTTGTTAGATACTTTGTTGTCCGATACATTGGTCGGTCGAATATTAAGATCACCTTAGCATCAGATCGAATCGATGTGACATTCGATAATTCCGATATGTTAGTCGAAACTTTCACCTTATTAGCACGAACCTTTCATGACGGCATAGTATCGAATGAGTTCTTGTCAAGGATATTCTCGATCTAGTCTTGATAGGATTCTTTGTCGAACCATTTCTTCTTTTGACAGTAAAACTTTGAGATAAGTTGTGACATTAGATTTGATGTGTCGGAGAACCAAAATATATCGTAATAAATAACTTAATTACTTTCGTTCCCGTAGGATCAGTTAGGACGAGCATATCTGCGTGGGCTTACCTTTATTGCTACACTAACCTTAATATTCTCATATTCTGATGTCGCTCTTGTTCGCTGAGTTCATCAGGAAGTTGCAGGTTTATTTGTCTAGGATTCCTTTGTCAGGCATGGAAGTGGAGCGAGTGACAGTGGGGAGGAGGGAGGACACACTTTGCAGTACGAGAACATGGGGCGGCTGCTTATGCTCTACGGCTATGTCTCTCGCCGAAAGAGAAAAGGTTGAGAGAGAGACAGAGCCTGAGATTGTTGACCGAGAGTGCAGTAGTAGTGACTGCATGGTGTTGGGTGGGTTTGGTGTCGAGTGGGGGAGACGACGACGCAACGACGAAGGGGACGAGAAATTTTCGTCCGGCATTTTGCGCCACCGCGCCCGCGTGAGCTGCGGCCTGGCGTGCGGCATCTCCTCCGCACAATTGACAGCCGACAACTGCGGAGGGACTGCAACCATTATCATCAAGAATCTGACCCCATTTATACCGTAACCCATCAATATATATATATATGAAAAATTGTAATTCTATGCGTGTGCCGTCTTCGTTCTGTTCCGTTAACGCAATGAAATGAGATGTTCCTGCAAAAAACAGGCTGCAAAATTTGCAATCGATGACGAGCTTTAGAAGTATTCTACAAGAGACGATCAAAGGTACAGCAACTTTCAAGTCATACGGAGATGCTTTTCTCATCATTATACTGGCAATCTATGAGCATCGATGGCATTGCGGCTTCCCTATCTGAAGATATCACGAGATCATCATGAGATTCTTGATCGGAAAATGACCAGCGATCTATATTGGACGGTCGTCGTCGTCATCCCCACTCCCGAATCGATCTTTAGATACCGAGGAGAACACGCATCTACGTCGACCGAGCTCTTACCGACATAGCCACGCGAGAATCGTTGAAGAAACTTTTGTTGTTGTAGGTAGATTTTGCGATCTTTATGTGGAACAATACTTAGATTGTGTCAAGATACGATAAATGATAAGATTGGCAGTGGGGTCCCCACGCAAGGAACGAAGAATTTGCACGCTTTTAATATGGTGGGAAAATGACCTCTCTGGGCGGTCACTTGAGATTTATGTGGGATACGGACATCTGAGTTCGTTTCTAAGACATCATGTTGTTGTGGTCCACTGAGTGTTTTCGATGGTCATTCACAAGTTTACTAGAGGAAGCATTTTCCGACATAAGTAGGTCTACTACATCTACTTCAACGATTGCCTCCTTTAGCCACCAATTGCAACCCCACTTAGTGATACGCACAAATCTTAGGGAACGTAAAGATGAAGGCCTGATTTGTAATTCCATGTTATCAAGACAATTAATATTCCAAGAACCAATATTTCTGCCTTGTAAAAATACCTTACCAGCCATAAAATCACATTAACAATAACAGAACTAATATATCCTTTTGCACATTTATTAGGAGACTGATTTCAAGAAAACACAACTATTGTTGTTTGATAAGCTAACAACAATGCAAGCGTAGGCAATGGATGCCATAAGCAAGACTCCATCTTACATTATCTTACAAGAACAATAAGCTTAACAATGAAAGAAGTACTCACCTGCAGTTTCTCTGTCTTGTTACCTGAACCAGTTGATACATCTCTCTCCAATGGCCTTGGACATCATTATATACGATGGTGTTCTACAAGTCTGATAATTCTTTTTTCTAAAATAAAAATAAAAATAAACAAAATTTATAAAAGAAAAACCAACACAGCCATTGCTACTCTTCCGGCCGAAATTATTACATGGAAATGTCATGATCGCTTATAAAGCTAAGTCTAACATATCCGCAGCAGGAAAGATTGGGTCTGTAACTACTACGGATGCTCAAAGTCATAAAATTTGGTTAAAGATGAAAGTAAACCAAGTAACAAGACATCACTGCTATTATATATGATTGGATCAGAGAGAGATAGGACCGAACACCACTTGCCTGCACTGCAATGACCTTACAGACTATATACATTTTGACTCTGCTAAACCTAGTGCTGTTGATCATCATATCATCTGGTAAATAAGTTTGTCATGGGTTGGGAGTGTTTCATTAGGCCATCCAAACTCGTTGATCTAGCCAAGCCCAAGCAGAAATGGTTTGCTCGAATGGTCGACTCGCAACAGCCACCACTGTAACACTGGCTCCACAGATGGAAGCCCGTGTATGGAATTGTCCCCTGTTTAGACTTACATAGAATTCACGGGCAAATACACCCTAGATGGGGCTTGCTTTAAGACCCTGCAGCAGAAAGTGTAGAGGTTGTATGTATCTTCAGAATCAGTGGTAGGGGGAACGTACACAATACAAACAGCAGGGCAATTGCCATTTTGGAAAATAGTCAAATTGGTATTCAAAATGCATTACATGAACCAAAATATTGTCAAGGAGAAAGAGAAAACAGTGGATGGAAACAAAGTGAAAAGTAAATGAAATATTTTGACAGCTATCAACATCAAACTTCTCAGTGTCAGATGCATGTCATGTTAGTATAAAAATGCATCCAACTATGATAGATTAGCAAGAAATTATTGGTTTTAATAATGTTTTCATCATATGACATGGCCAACTGGACATCTAAATATTTTTTTCAGACACCAGGTTTGAAATTTTAGATTCGTTGAAGAGTTAGATATCTAGAGGATACCTTTGCTTCAGTGAAGAGATTTAAAGCTAATGTGTATTCTGCATTGCTACTGAACCAGTGTGAACTTTGGAAATGCAAAGTAGTTACTCATTAACAGCTCGAAAAAAGAAGGGAAAGGAAAAGTTTCAAAATTTGTGATTTCACCTTATTCTGAGAGGATGCCACACTAGCCCTCCATTGCGGATTTTGAGTAGGTGTACTTCTTTCTCTGATAAAAGTTACTATGGTGGATGGTGCTGGTCTATCACTATCAGCTACAAGACGAGGAGGCATTTCTCTCATAATCCATAACACAAAACCTGACGGTACTGATGAGCCTGACAGAATTTGTATAGAATGAGCTTTTGCAGGATAAATAACTAGACAAATGCAGAAAGAAAATGGAACATGCATGACATGCAGAAAGAAAATGTACACAGGCAAGTGAAAGAAGTTGATGAAGCAGTAGTGCTCTCCCAGGACTCATAGCACCAAGATTCATAAACAAAATGGCAAAGGAAATCACAAGGAAAAACAATCTATAATCTTTGCAGATATTTAGGTGAAGTTCAGATATGACACAATCTCAGATTTTATGCAGAAATCAGTAGAGTAGGGCAACTACACCTTCTGTAAGTGAGTGGAATGTGAGGTGAAACATCAGAAGCTATTATCAATCTATAACCTATGGAGATATTTAGGTGAAGTTTAGATATGACATATACATAAGATTTTGTGAAGAAATCGGTAGAATGAATAAACCTCAGTGACCCGAGTGCAATGTGAGGTGAAACATCAGAAGGTATCGTCAAAGGTATCTCAAAATAAAATCTTAAATAATCAGAAAAAGATAATTCTCACCTCATTTCGAGGAATGCTGTAAGTCCATAAGGTCTGCTCCAGAGCATCTCAGTATGTAGATAAAAAGGTCTGCTCTAAAGCATCTCATAGTGTTGAAACTTGAAAGATCTCTAGATGTTCTATTAAGTCGATAAAATATAAAGCCGCAAGGTACACTGGTTTAAAAGGTTAATTATCACTTTTATGCATCCCATATCCCATAGATATTGACCAACAATACAAAAGCAATGGTTTTGGGAATAGATCCTCAACTATATCATTTTTTTTCCGAACCAATGCTGATTTCTAGTTGTCAATTTGTCCAATAAGAATCCCTCTTGACAGCATTTAGGTGGAATGACTCATTAGTTCAATATCAATAAGACATGAGAATTATATAGTATTAAAGAGATTTGAGCCCTTAACTGATTAACATTTAGATGGGAAATAAACCTAGCAGAATGATAGATGGATCAGTTATCTCAATGATAATCAAAAAAACTTATATGCACTTTTTTTTGAGCTAGACTGCATGACAAATTATCAAGATTTCATCTCTTCGATGATTTGAAATATGCTATTTCTGATGATCTATAAAGATACAGAAACACCCCACTAAAGCACACAAAAACTATCCTAGTCAACACTCAAAAATTGTGTTTCTTTAGTAAAATAATACTTTATCATGTGAAAGATAAAGTGACTCAAGAAAACAGAAATACTTGGAATGTTCAAATTATCTGATAGTTAAATTCATAGCAAGAAACAAAATACTTCTGGCACTACATATGTGAAGATGATGTGTATAGAGCATGTGCTTGTGCAACTAACAATTTCACTTGTATTCAAGCCATAAATCTTCAGCCATAATGCTTATAATTGGCATACCTATAAAATAATAGAGAAATATAAAAGCAGAACTGCTTAAGCAGTCTGAAGGAGCCAAATGCCAATACGAAAGAACCTGCAACTGCAAAGAAATATGGAAATCATAATGTAACTGACAGATGGCACTTGATGCTAACTAAAGCAAAAGAACAACTTTGCAAGAAACAGCAACATACTGGAATATTAGTAACAAGAGATAGCACAGCAGATGATGTGAAACATATAACAGTGACAGCTGCCAAACTTGCAACCTGCACATAGCATCAAGCATGGGATATGTTCAGCAGCTTGTCAAGAATATAACTAGCATAACTTAAGCATGGATAGAAGTATATTGTACTAGTGTCAGGTATGGAAAAGCAATGCAAGTATTGAAGCTGATTTGAAAAACATGGAATGACATTAAATTTCATTAAAGTTAACAATTCATAATGCAATCTATAGTTCATAATTCATAGTACGAACTTTGATCATTAACCTAGTACTAAGACATCCAGAAGAAGCAAAAGTTAATCCTCCGAAAGCACATTTTAATTTATCTCTTGAGATGTATTCAACATATTTGGAACACCAACTGATATATTCTAATCATTTTTCTTTACATATTTCACTTTGAAGATGTTACATTAGCCCAAGTTCATGGGGCCATGATGAACTGATTCTATAGGATGAAGCCATTATGTAGATTAACACTCATTACTTATCAGATGACATGAAAAGCAAATTACCTTATATCCCGTGAGAAATAAAAGTCAATAGACAGAAATATTATAAACCAAAAAATGTAAAGATTCAGGTTAAAGGAAAATATTTTCCAAATAGATACCTTCCACATTTCAGTTGATGCCATTTCAGATCGTACATTGCTCATCTTTGAGAACAGCAGCACCCCTTAACATGATTAATTCACAAACATGTTAATTCACAAACAAATTTTCGGTATGCACACAAGTGGCTCAGCTAAATTACCAAACTGTCATTGCAATTAATAATGGGGTTCATCAGGACATTCACTAGACAGATCTTTTACTTTCTTGACCAGAATAAGTTTTTTTACTGAAAACTACCAAAACAACAAGCCAATTTAATATTTTTGGATGGTGGTGAATAGTCAAATAATTTTAGTCATCGTCATAAATAGTTGGCATAACACGTGCATGATGCAACCCAGCAAAAAATTTCCAGAAACTTGACATTTGAGACACATGACATTAGAGTTGAAACACATTCAATCTTCCTTGATCTCATAAGTTATGCTCTAACATATTAACATATTGAAAGAACTTAAAATTTTGAATGGAACTGCTTCTTTGATAAAGTGGCACGAATGACAAGAGAATAGCATTAAGCTGACAAAAGTAGGCTCCATCATTTTCTCTAGCTAAAGTAACAAACAAAGGAGCACTGGCTTTTTGTCACCTGCACTTTAAGGGGACAAAATATTGTGGCGATATAATTTTGCTGACTTTAAGAAACATCATCTCACTTTAAATTGGATTAGCACAAGTCATCAATCATAACTACTTTGTTCTATCAAAGGGAAACAAGTATACAATAGGCAATTAGAGAAAGGTAAATTCCATACAGAAGGGCAAAGTAAAGTCCTTTTATCATTTGCAGGCTGCCTTTCATCTTCTGGAAAAGATAGGTTAAGGCATTCTGATATCGAAGCACACCAATTTTTAGTCCCTTACTTCAAAGAAAATCAAGAAATTTATATAATTCAATGACATCGAATTTCTAAGCACTGGACACTGAAAGAAAAAAAACAAAGTTTTAAATCTTGATGGGACAATATAGATAAAGCTGCATCGTTCACAACTGATTGAACAGTGGGCTAATAGAAAGGAAATGATACTGTAGAAAGTGCTCCTATTCTTTAATGAAATCCTCCAATGATTTGCAGGTTACAAGTTACATTTTGTATCATGGATGTCAACAAGAATAAGTTAATCAGTAAACTAATTCAAGTTCTAGTAGACGATGACAAAAATTCTAGCCAATGACAAAATTTCTAGCCGAAAAATCTCATGAGCACATAAGACGATGAGAATTTTCAGCCGATCAAATGAAGACAAAGAGCATGAGTCATCTGCATTTGCAGAAAGAACTAACAGAAACAAGCAACACACCGTTGAGTAGGTATGGTGGAAATCAATCTTATGTGGCTCAAGAAAAGATGAGAAAAGAAATGACTCAAAAAGTCCTGTGATAGGCAGTACATAGCATTCAGACATGACTGGAATGCGCACAAGAGAAAGTAGCATGTCCACCGTGACAGCTTGCACAGAATTTTTTTTCTTCTTCTCAAGAACAATTAAGTATCCCAATGAACTCTGCCAGCAAAATGTGGGCATGCGTTCATGCCTCTTAAAATCAATCAATCAACTAGGGTAGGGAAAGCATTTAATTCAAAATTTTAACCACAGTGACCTTCACAACTAGTGTCCATGATGTCTTTTAGACAGCACAGGATGTGTCTAAATTTTTTGAAACCTGCATCACAATCAGGTGTTGCATCCATTAGTCTTTTAGACAGCTATGGATGTGTCTAAATTTTTAAAACTTGCATCACAATCAAGGGTTGCAGGAAAACCCACTACACTTGCCAAACTTGCTTCCCCCTCCTCCTCCCTAACAGATGAATGAATACACACCTAATAGGGAGAATTTTACAAGTCTGGGTCTACGGCTCCCATCTTCACTTGCTACACCATTGAGTCCTCACCTTTACTGCATTAAAGACCTTCCTGTAAGACCTCTTTAGAACAACTATGGATGTAAGAATTGTACCTTCAGCAATATGATGTTTAGATAAACACAGGAAACCATCCAATTTACTCTTGGAAACACCAATCTTCAGAGACGAAATTTGACAACTTACATTGAATACCAAAAGCAAGTAGGTTAATTGATACTTCTTTCTTTCCAACAGTGTATCTTTATCTATTATATGCCCCGTCCTCATTGATCTTAAGTATCCATAAATTCTACCTCTTGAGAAAACTGTTGATGACAGTTTTCCATCAAATACTTTCACAAGCATATAGACACAGATTTGTCAAGTATCAACCAAACATGTAGCAGACTGGCCATCGAAATATCCACCATATGCTTTCTCTTGAATCATCATACATAATGCAGACTTCACAACACCTACACAGTTAATCAGAACTCCACTTGATCAATAATTCCATTCATCAATCAAATCCCTCCTTGCACTATTGAATCATAGCCATCAATCAGTACCTTCATTGGATCATCCATAAGCATAGCAATTGACAACTGTCAAGGTGCAACTACTGATGTCCATACCCTTTTTATGTTGCAAATTTTTAGAAAAAATAGGTTATGACTTGTGTTTAGATTGCATTTTTGGCTGTAAATCTTTGATTTTCAAGTGCCTTGTAAAAGAAAGTCTTACAAGTCTGATTCATTGCATAGGTTACAGGCATGTGCCTTGACTTTGGATCTGAACCATTCATGTTCTGGAAGACAAATGAAGAATGCCAGTACAAGCATCATGGTTCATTACTTTCAAATTTATGATAATGGTAATATAGGAAGCTTAAAGTTACACTCTATACATGTTTCCATGCTTGCAAGGTACTAAAAGAACCAAATTTCACCAAACCATTAAACTAGTCAATAGCAAACAAATCAAAAAATGCTTACCGTAGCATGCCAAAACACCGCCTAGAAGGAGCATAGCTACCGAAAAAATATACAGATAAACCTGCAAAATAAATAAATAAAAATCGGTGCAATAGACTAAACATTTACTGAGGACTACAAAACGAAGATATAGAAAAGAAAATAGTAACTTGTGTTGAAACTAAAATTTAATTCATCTACCTAGTTATCAGAGAGCATTAAATGATATATCCACTTGGTTTGTCCAATTACCAAACTGGAATCCTGCCTGCAAATTCTAATGGAGGTGCCAAGTCAATTTGCACCTATATACATATACGTATACTCCAGTATGTGAATATCTGGAGAAGGAACATGGCCTTGAAATTAGGCCATAAGGCCTAGCAAAAAGGGCATCCTAGACAAAGGTTTGTAATTTTTCATCGTACCGGTGTTTCGAGCTTTGCTTAGTACGGTACGATACAGGTATACCGAGTGGTACGCCAGGATGCACTACTCGATATATATATATATATATATATATATATATATATATATATATATATAATTTTTTTTAAAAAGGAGGCGTACACTACCTCGGCGATGTCGCCTCCTTTTCTTCTCGTCATGTCAGACGAGGAGAAGACTAGTCTTCTCCTTATCTGCGACGTTCGGCAAAAGAGTCAAAGGCCGCAAAAGCCATCGGCCTTCAGCAAAGGTCGTAGGCGTCTCCAGCCTTCGGTGAAGAACCCAGCAAAGAAGAAGTCGAGTCGTCGCCTCTCCGTTACCTTCTGGATCGGGATCGTCGAGGGAGGGCAGCGCCGAATCGTAAAGCGTCAAGGTTCTCCCGATTCTCCCTCTTCTTCTTCCTCTTCTTTGAGCGCCTTCTCCTTCTTCTCCCTCAACGCTTCTTCCCTTGCCACAACCAAGCTGCAGCCAGGCTGATACCACCTAGTAGCGAGCAGTTTGCTTACTGATCTGCTGGCGGACCAATACGGTATCGGGCGGTATTATTTAAAATTAAAATCCTCGTCCTAGACCGTAAATTGGAAACAACAACACATAATAATGTCTATTAAAACCCACAATGTCCATTGAGAAACATCTACACAGCCCATGAAGCTTGTCCATAACCCACAAAAGGAGCACAAGTGCATGTACCTAGGAATTTGCAAAGGGCAAAGGAGATATATGTAAATTTAAGTCAGCAGGCTAAGTTGCTTACTTTGTACAAGTACAAATATGTAAAATAAACTATATAAGAAAATAGGTCAGGCTCTCCATGCTCTGATATATAAGATCCAATTTTTGCAAAAGATAGAGAAAATTGGTCAAATCTAGGCAATATCTGGGTTTTCAACCATAAAGAATTTTTCTGATTGGTTAGAACAGCCAACTACATACCCTAGCCACAAGAGAAGAATCAATAGGATTTTTCCCTCTACCAATCCATATCAAGACAGCAAAAGCAATCATAGAAACGAAAGTCAGGGCAATCACCTGCAAAAGAAAGGTGTAACATAGTTCATTAGTACAATATATGCTATCAAAGTTCAGAATGCAAGATTAAAAAGGTTAACTCCCAGGAAGGCATGAACAGTTTGACATGCTCAACAAACACTTAATTACCAAGATTACAAATTTTTGTCGACTTCCAACATGAACAGATCGAGGAAAGCAACATCTCCTGCAGCTATCAACATGAAGATGATTTTGTTTATGCTTTCCCTTTTCCAACAAAGCTTCATTACACCCATGTTCATCATCATCTTCTTCTTCATCATTTGCCTGATGGCACAGATCAACCCTGTAAAAGTATTTGTTTTACAGGAACATATGCCAAATTATAAGGTGCAAATGATTTTTCCTTTTTATATGGATGTTAGCACAAGCTTTAACTTATAAATTTTGTTTCAGTATGCTCTTCCATAACAATACTATGTCTTCCTAGAAGGCAGATAAATTATGTGTGTAGCAAAGGTATTAAAGGGATCAGACAATATGCAATCTTTATAATATGATATTATATGCATTTTTGACATACTCAAGTTAAAAAAACATACAAACACAACTGGTATGCATAAGCAAGTCATGGAAAATTAAGAAACATTAAGTAAATCTAAGGACTATATGCAAATGTATCTGACAATGCAACTTATTCTGGTAAAATAAATCAGGTAGTGAAAATACATTTATTTTTTATAACTTATATAACACATATCAATATCAATCACCATCTCATAGAATGTATTCTGAATCAATAAAAATTGAATCATGCGAGAGATAGTCATAAAAAACGTTAAGATAAGATTTCTGTTTAAGCAACCTCAACATTTAATCTATAACAGATGCATCAGGTACCTAACCGAATCACCATATAAATGATAATCTAAAGCCCTCCAGCAGGTAATTTAACACTTAATACCTGCATAAAGTATTTTAGCATTTTTGCAACATAAATATATGGTGATCAGGGCACACCAAAAGAGTACAGATAATCTCTTAGGACCATCAAATACACTTTTCCTGGAAAATCAAGGTCAAGAATACATGAAGCATGGGCACTTCAAAATGTATTCCATGTTCATGTTGTATCCTCAGACACACACTTCTTGTTGGATATTCTCTAAGATGTTCGGGACATCATGTTCAAAATGTATTTCACTACTGTTGTATTTATTTACCATGTATGTAAAATAAAATCGAGGGACAAGAGCCTGATACAACAATAAAATGTATTTTTAATAAAGTTAGCAACAAGTACATCAAGCCTAGAGCTATACTAAAGTGTCAAAGAAATACATAGCAGTATATCATTAAAAATTATAATAATGAACTTCATTCGCGCTCCTAACAACATGATGTCCCAAGAAAATCATAAAAGGTAAATAGTTTATTATAAAGATAAAATGATCGTTAGACAAAATAGTCAACATATTTTTTGTTGAATATAATCTGATTCTCATAACAAAGAGCATAAAGTATCCCACAGGTAGGTTATCTTTAAGTATTATTAAATTAAATATTTAGATGAAGTGTGAAGTGATTTAGTCAATTATCAGAAATTAATGATATTAGTTACTTACCAGAAAGACACAAGCAGAAGGAATGCAGCTAGAAAGAGAATCTGAGGACAAACTGCAAAATAGATTTTAAAATTTTTAAATATTAGCATCAGTCATGAATTCATAGTTGAATTTGAAGATGAGTAATGGTGAAGTAAATGCATGAAACTTAAACCAAGGTGATAAAGCTCTGTTTTAAAAGTATACTTACCCATGAGGACAAATCCACAACCATGTGACCAACACTTCCATCCCTCACAAGTAGCAACAAGAGTAGATATGAAGTATGCCAAGTATCCTGCCACAGATTTCACCTAACTCATTCTAATACAACAGTGAAAGTTGTGCAGAATAGCTGATGAAAGATACTAGAAACAATGAACTATTGATATCCTGGAACTAGTGTTTAAAAATAAATAAGAAACTCTAGAACGTATAGCAGAAAAGAGAAAAAGAAAAGGGAAACTTCATAAAATAGCATAACATAAGAAAATAACCTTCATTCTGAAGAAAATGAGCTGATTTGACACTTAATTATAACATAGAATTCATACCAAGAACATTTAAGGTATAAAGAAAATGAAAATTAACTATTTACATTGAAGTCCATAGGAAAACAATGACTTGCAGCTAGGTAGCTTAGGTGCATGTCATGGAAAAACTAGCATTGTGTGGGCCATCATATTATAAATGTCTTAATCTTAAACTAATTGTGACATTCCAATTATTTCCCAATCAGAATTTATTTGAATCGATGCTTAAGGGAGTGGCATATCTGGAGGGTGTAAATATTTGGATTAATGTACATGCTATATTAAAATTTGGAGGGAAAATATGCTATTTTAGAAACGAAAAGGTTTGCCCAATTTTATCTCAATTACCTCATTTGATCTTATGACTTCAATCCATTTTTATATGACAATTGATTTCTGATTATTGGTGCTAACAACTATTCAAGAAACTGATGCTTCTGGCAGACGCAATCATCATTTATCCTAGGCTGTAAATGGACCAAGCAAGAGGCTCCAATTTACAGCTTTAGTAGACATCGCTTTGTTTATAATATTTCACTCTATGTAATGAACTTCATTCATGCATCAGCAACTTGTAGTACTTTCTCATAGTAAAAATTATGTCCATATCACTGAAAATACAGCCAGATTTTTCCAGCACAAGACTTATAGCTTGTACATAAAAGACAAGTGAAACAAGTCGACAAGTGGAAAGCATCAATCGTAATAACCAATTTTATGTTAAATCACATAAGTTCATACAAGCCCACAATAAATAGTTGCTGACATCAAGGAACCAGCATGCAAACTCTATTTGCTTTCGTATAAAATTGGCACTACTGATGTTATGCTTACTAACACAACTGTGAGGATAGTAGGGTCTGCCGTACCGAACCGTACCGCCCGGTACGGGTGGTACATACCGGTCCGACAGGTTGTCGGTACGCGGACCGCATGTTACCGGTCCGAGTGCACTGTAGCACTGTAGCAGTGCACTGTAGCATTAGAGCAGTGCTACAGTACTCAGCACACCTGGGTATACCGTTCGGTATACTGTACCGTACCGATACCTAGCCCAGATCGAAATACTGGTACGGTACGGTATTACAAACCTTGGAGGATACTGTAAAATAATTAACATTGAGCTTCACAAACTAAAGAATTAAACCAAATACGATAAAACTACAGTCAAATTCAATATCGTTCTGCCATAATAGGTGGCTCACCTATGTTGGATGAGCCAATCATGATATGGAATATCTGCAACAAATAAGCCATTCAGAAATTTAATTAATGACACACACTAAAACAAAAGAAATCGCCAAGCGATGACACTCACCAATAATGCTTCATGCAAAATTCAGGATCAGTAACACATAAAGGAATAAGAATTGATCCTGATCCATCCTATACAGTAACATATTTGGATTACAGTAGCAAGATGATCAAAGGACCAAGATTACAGTAGAGGCTAATAAACTCATCAGGGAGAGAAACACTATTTGACATATGTCAGATGGCTACCCAAGAAATTATTTATGTTTGACCACTTTAAAATATAACAATCAAGCAAGGAGTTCAAAAATTGGGGTCATCACAATATGAAATATTTTTAGCTTCTGCTTTTATTTATGTTAGCATCTTAAGAACTATCTTCCAACATAAATGGCTGATATAAAGCAATCAACCATTAGAACAATGGGTGCTACTTCTTTGGATATGCTGATTGCCTTTATATTTAAAACAAAGTAACAAAAAGTAATTGAAAATTGTACAGCCTCGCAGCAGTTCTTCACTTACCTTTTGCCGAGTCCAGCCAAGTTGTCGATTTCGTAAGTGAATTCTCAACAACTGCCGTCAATTGAGAATTAATTAGTAAACAATACAACTGAAGAATGGTTAGTGTAAGAAGACTACAATGAGATAGATCAATATATGCACACACATCTAAATCACTAGGTGGGATAACACAACAAAACTACTATCACTAAAGATTTGGCCAGAGTACAGCTGAAATCTCAGACAACGAATTACCACACGTCAAGTGACCAATAAGAACAAGCATTACTTCGTATCTCCAGATACGTAGATCCCCTAAAACTGGAATGGATAAGAACCAATTCCCTTGTGACTGCTAACGTTAAACTTTTCTCAGTACATTCCCTAGAGTTCTCAGACAAGCCACTCTCTCAGATACTCATCCTTGTGTCCTAATCCCATTATCATAAAATAGTCTACATGATATAGAAAATTACAACATAGATAAAAGAAAAGAAAAATTAAACTCGATCCACTTACAGAAACAAAAGAAGAAACAAAACAAAAGAAATTTAAACAATTGAAAAAACACCAAATACTAGGGCATATAAAACTAGTTATTTAGTTATTAGATATTCAGTAAAACACAATATCTAAAATTTTGAATTATATTTATGAAAGCACCACATTACAAAAATGAGCTAAATGCATGCAAGATATAGTAAGCCAGAGCATTACGAAGCAAGTACAGGAGCAAAGTGGATTAAATTATGACTTGTTGCTAGTGGTTTGAGTCTTTGATGGTCTGCAACTCCATTCCAGTCACTGTTTCCAATTGTACTTTCCCATCTGGGAAGATGACAAGTGATAATGTTCTCAGAAGCAATTAATTAACCTCATAGGGCCTTTAAATTGGCTCATTGAAAACAGCAAGTTCAACTACCAACCAAAATGGCCTAATCCTATAGAAACTTACATTTAGTTTCCCTTTGCAGGATATCATATAATTCCAAATCATCTCTTATATGCATATTGAACTAAAAACTTTTGCTTTGAATGCTAATAAGACAACTTTCACTTTGAAGACTAGAAGTGGCTAGAGGCTACAACACCATTTTATGGTTTGGGATCCCACACACTGCAGAAAGCATGGCAGGAAGACTCAAAGTTTCAGTCTCTTTTCCACCATCACCTACCTAATCTTGACCTATTCACATTAAAATACCATGTCAGAAATTCTTTGCAATCTACGTAAAGGATGCGCCAAATGTTGTATGCCAAAAAGGACTAAGTGTCCATCAACCACATCTGATTGTTAGATCGAGCAGTGCAACTGCAAAGACAGGATAATTAACAGCATATACAAAGAAGCATCCCGCAATTGATCTGTTGCAAAGAATACATTGAAAAGCAAAGGTGCCTGTGTATAAAATAATTAAATAGTTTGCAGTCCTAAATTATAAATGATTCCACGTATCTCAAAGCGTTACGATTGATAAGCTTAAAAGATTGGACTATTTTTAAGTACTCAACTGACAAAACAAGCTGCAAACCGATGTGGTTTTGATCTATGATAGGCTCTTCAAGAATCAGGTTGACCATGTACGGTGATCGCTAGTATGGTTTGATCATTAGCTGGACCGGGCATTACCCATTTGATTTGCATGATAAGTACAATTTTTTTCCTCGGTCCATGACAAATTAGCGATTGCCAACGAAGACCTCTTGCACCGCGGAGCGAAGAAGCAATCAAAACACAGGAATCACCACCTCATGTAGAAATCGACTAAAACGGCACTGCGTAGCCGGCGATATTTAACTCCGAGGAAACAGGGAACCTCGACGATGCACATCAAGAACTAGCCACTGGCGATGGAGTGAATTCTTTAAGCTAATAGCGAGAGCAGGAAAGGAAGAGAACTCCAGGACCATAGGGGAACCAACCTGCAAGAACGCGACGACCGCCACGGCCCCATCGACGGCGGCAAGGACCGCCTCGGCCGCTACGACTTCGGTCGGCAGGCACCTCCGTCCCGCCGCCCCCTCGCTCAGCATCTCCCCGCCAGCCCTCGAAACGACTCGATGGGCAGGATTTGCGCCCCCTCGATCGTTTCGCGGGGATTCAAAGAGCAACCTCGGATAAGGGTTTCGGATTTAGAGAAGGGCGGAAGAGAGCCGGAGACGAGGAAATTAAACAGGAGCCGGAGCCAACGCACGAGGGTTGGGGACGGATGGAGAGAGCTGTTGCCGACGTTGGATGCGCTCATAGGTGAAACCAACAGAGCAAATTTATTTTTCCCATAGCCGTCGACGTTCTACCCCAATCGTACCCATCAATTTAATTGGTAACATATCGGGACACAAACGTGGATCTCCTCAATATCCGCCGTAATCGCGTGGAAGGTATACAAGGCGGGTGCTGCGGATTAGGTAGGAAAGCGTCGCTCAAAGGCAAGGGGGCGGATCCTTTTGACCCATTACGGCGACAGCTGTTCCTGGGGAGGGCGCCCTCGGGAGATGCGTTGGCTCCGCTCCCTACCGGTGCTTCGGGGACCCCTCACCGCCCTCTGGGCTGCTCCCCTCGCCACCACCGCTGCTGATTTTTACAAGGTGAAAATTATTTTTATGATAAATCTCAATTGAATATTAATTAACGTTGATTTTGAATTGCCAATCGAAAAACCCATCATATCTAATAGATATATATATATATATATATATATGTGTGTGTGTGATTTGACTTTAGGAAGGATTTGACTTAAAAGTTTATCAAAGCTTAGAGTTAATTCGATTAAATTAGAATATTCCAATTTAAATGGAAGTAAGACATGATGCATCGGTCAACCGAATCGCAATCAAGCTTGTTTTTAGCTGCGAAAGATGCGTGATTTGACGAATTCTTTCTCTAGTTGTGCGGAAGGGCGACATCAGCTTTGACGAATGCTCATATGACACTGAGTTGGGAGAAGATTATGATGATTATATATCTTCAATTATATGATTAAAATTCATCAAAAAAACATGTTAGTGATATAAAATTTTACCTATTTTTCCATTTGTGTAGCCATGACATGTGATATCATGCAAACAAGACAGTCAAACAAGGATTCAACCAAAGGCTGTACAGAAGAATTAATTGCAGTTACCTCCTCCCTTGCATCCGTGCTGGCCATTCTCTGGCAGGGCTTCAAGTCAATCACAAGCCTGTCAGAGAGACAATAAATGGCAACAAGTAGATTAGAAACATGTTATTACTCATCGACATGTCTTTAAATTCATGAGAAATTACATCGGAGAATTATGGAAAGAATAATTTCAAATATATAAAATGCATACTAAATCAATTCGATGAATAATTCCTTCCCCGACCGAATCAATCAAAAGACTAATTCCTTTCATGATTGAATCAATCAAAATATTATTTCCCGTTATTGACAATATTCCCGCGGATTTTTTTCACGAATCTTGGAGAGGTTTCTCAAGATTCACAACACTTGGACATGCCAACTGGTAGCCTTGGGAGCGGGAGCTTCAAATTGGTGCTGCCAGTAGCAATAATCACATCAGTTAAAGCATGAATTGATGGCTTAGTTTCATCTGGTAAAAAACATGGGCATCCCAAGATATGGGATACCGGTAATTGTGCTTAGTTTCACCTTTGGGGGATTTAAAGATGATCACAAGATAGGCTTGGACATGGAGATTTCATACAATAAATTGGAGTCACATTACCTGAGTGGACAACAGCAAGGATTCTCTAGTGCAGCACCCATTAGAATTTTGCTCGCTGAATCTATCGATCATAGATGTCTGCCATTTGAGTGATTGCAACTCCATATCTTTGTAGTGCTCGAGGTTCTCCCAATAACTTTTCCCGAATGACTGTTCAGAAATCTGAGTCATTAGGGATATCAAATGCAAAGCATAAGCAAGAAAACTCAAGTGTTGGATATTGATGATATCACATGAATGACAGAATTGCTTACATCAAGTGCCATTCAAACCTGTCCATGTCAGCTTGCTATCCCAAGATCATGAAAGCAGCATTACCATGCATAAACATTCATTTGTGCAGACAATTCTGGAGCACTGTCAGAAATTAATGGTGGCTATCAGTGCAACATAGGAATTTGGAAGATGTGGCTAAGAACAAGAGAGCTGATTATTACTCACAAACTAGTAGGCTTACAATATACGATTCACAATTTCTTCCACATCCAATTCCATGTTTTCCACCTGCAATTCTTATATCATGAATGTAAAGTGAAATAAATTGCAAAGGCAAACTCTGCATTTACGTACTCAAACAACTAAAATTCATGAAGGTGACAAACTTCTGTGTGTCAGCAGTCATAGCACTCACATAAAAGTTTGTTGCAGTTAAATTTGCAATATGACAGGAAGATCTAATTAATCTAAGTCATCGGAAAAATCAAAGATAACCTTTAGCATGCTATAACATTTGTAATGAAATGCAGCAGGCAGACACTAAAACAAATGAAAAAGGAACCCACCTAGGTGAGGTGGTGCTAACTTGCGGCGTCTAGCGTCATTCCACAGCTGGAAAGAGCCAAAACTTATTTCCACTAGGGAAGAGGACCCTATTATCAAAAAAATAAGAAATCATGTTGCGATGCCGACATTATCCGCTGCCTGGCACTCTACTCATTCCTAAATTCTCCTAACAAGCTCCTAGGATTCAACCTCCAAAAAGATTGCCAGCTAAGAACATTACCTTTCCAAATGAAGCTCCAAAGGTTAGAGGAGCACATGGTCACCCGTAAAGCAAAATATGCGGAAGGTGCGAAAGAAAAAACAAGTAGAACATAAGTAGGTTCTTGATCAGTAATTCATCTTACCTAAAAAACAATTTCTGGTTTTGAACTGTGAACAAAGAAATCCTTCCAACTTGACACAAAATTAGAGAAGCTCACAGAAAACTCCTATTTTCCTTTAGTTGTATTAAAGAGAACATTGGTGAGCCATGAGCTACTTAGAAGCTTTAGGAATTTTCTGAGGTCTCTATATACAAATAATAATCTAACAGACAGCATGAGAATGAGGAACTGTGCGTTAAGGAGTCAATGAAAATTACTATGCCTGATAATATCTATAAGATTCAACTAGCATTGAACATGGGGGTTCATTTAGGTCATAAGTTAAATTTGGCAAAAAAATTTGAAAGTAAACTGTCCCAGCATGTTTAAAGGTAAATTTGGCAAAATGATATACAGATCCATCATGCATAATTTGTGCCTGAATGTTTCATATGTACCTTCCAGTCTTGGCACCTATAAAGCAAGATTTCAACTCTATATGTTTCATGTGTCATCATATAAGTGTATTATATCATAATGAATTTTCTCAGTTGAACAAATCAAATACCTTTTCTAGAGCAGCTCACTGCTTATCACTTTATGAGGCGAGTAGCTATATACGTTAATTTTTTCCAGTGTCTCTATTGCCCGGATCTTTTGGAACATCTACATCATCCAACCTCACTACGAATGATATAAGCATGTCCAGATTTGTCCATCCAACATTATCTATAGTGTGGCAAAAAGCCAAGAGCCCATACTCCGGTGTGTGGCCTTTTCCCTTAAATAAAACATGTCACAGTAAATCAAAAGCCAATAATGCAGAATCTAGTGCACAGCCTTCTTCAATCATGTTACCATAAAGGCTATTCAACAATTCATGGATGCAATCCTTCAGATGGCTGCAAGAGTCACCAGACAGAAATGTGCGAGTTTGGTTCCTTATTTCAATCAGGCTGCATCCTGGTTCCTTCAGAAGCTTCTTTTGCTTCATTAATACTCTCACTTCAGCAACATCTTTCCACATTCTTGATGCTGCAAAAGTTTCGGCCAATGAAACAAGAGCAGAGCTGTCATCTGGTTCCAGAAGAATAATTTGATCAGCTGCTCTTTTAGCAATCACAGGATCTCCATGCATTTTGCTAGCTCCTAGCAATGCTCCCCAGATAACTGCATCTGGTTCTATTGGCATATTTCTGATAAGAGATTCGGCCTCTTTCAGGTAACCAGCTCGACCAAGAAGATCTACCATACATGCATAGTGCTCCCTAGTGCGACTGACACCATGATCTTTCTCCATCCCTTCAAAGTACTCCAGGCCCTTGCTAACCTCTCCCAGATAACTGCATGCAGAAAGTAAGCTTATGAATGTGACATGATTAGGTGTCACTTCTGATATCTGCATCTGCTGATAGAAGCCAAGGACTCTATCTCCTTGTCCATTTTGTGAATACCCAGTCAACAATGCATTCCAAGATATCATGTCGGGATGTGTCATAATTCCAAAAGACCTTTCTGCTTCACTAAGAGCTCCACATTTTCCATAGGCAGTGATCAATGCATTACCCACTCCTAGGTCAGATTCATATCCCCTTCTCACAGTTCTGCAGTGGATTGCCCTGGCCTGCTCTAGAGCTCCAATGCTTGCACAAACACTGAGCACACAGTTATAGGAGAAATGGTCAGGTTTGACATCTGACTGTTCCATGTTATAAAAGAACATCAGAGGAGTTGGGTGTCTCATCCTGCCTATAGTGTTGATCTCCATGTTTCTACAAATTTGCAGGTACCCAAACATCATTGTGTTCCATGATATTAGGTTCTTACTAGGCATCCTATAAAAAATGCCATGAGCTGCATCTATATCACCATCAGAAATATAAGCAGATAGCATCGCTGTCCATGAGACCACATCACAACAAAACATCATGTCAAATATTAAACGAGCATCTCCGACTTTTGCTTGCTCTCCATACATCGTTATCAAAGAATTGGCCACCGAAATTTCCGATTGAAGACCTTCTTTCACCACATACCCATGAAACTTTTTGCCACTTCTTGCATATTGGAGATTTGAGCACCCACTAATAAGGCTCGTGAGGGTAAAGCAATTTGGTTTCATGCCATCATTCATCATATCGACAAAAAGAATGAAAGCTTTTTGTTGCATATCATTATGCACGTAACCAGCAATCATGACATTCCAAGATATCACATTTCTCTCCATCATTCCTGTAAAGATCGACTCCGCCTCCAAAATCTTCCCGTTCTGAGCATATGCCCCCAATAAGATAGACCACGAGACAACATTATGCTCTTTAATATCATCAAAAGCTCTCTGAACATCTTGTAAACCACCACATTTGGCATACATATCCATCAGTGTACACCCAACAAGGACATTCCTAATCCATCCCAGTTTGACTAAGCTGCAGTGGATTCCCTCGCCATATTCCAAATGTTGTAAGCCAGCACAAGCCTTCAGCACCGCCACAAATGTCAACCCATTGGGAGGTTCTCCTAGCATCTTCATCCTACAGAACAATTCCAACGCCATCTCATCATGCTCTTCTCTCTGACAAGCATTGATCATCGAGTTCCAGGAAACTGCATTTCTGATAGGCATCTTATTGAAGAAATCCATGGCCTTCTCTAGACTGCCATTCAGTGCATAGCCAGAAACCATTCCGGTCCACGTGTACACATCTCTCACAGGCATGCTGTCAAACACCTTCTCTGCATCACTCACCCTATCGCACTTTAAGTAAAGATTAACAAGCGAATTGCTCGCCGCCACATCCATGGGTAGATTCTTCTTGACCATGAAACCATGAATCTGTCTCCCTTCTTCCAACGCATTGAGATTGGCGGATAGTGACAAAAGATTGGAGAGTGCGAACTCGTCCGGATCAAGATTCATAGTCTGGAACCGTTTAAAGAGACGTAGACCTTCCCCGCGGAGGCCATTAAGGGCGTCGCCAGAAATCGACGAGTTCAAGCAGCACGGATCTTGATGGTCCTTGACGCCATCCAAGATGTGGCGGGCCTTGGCGGTTCGACCTGCTCGGCGCAGGGGAGCGACAATGAATCTTGCGGTGGGGGGATTCGGGTGGGGCATTTCGTCGAGCAGGTCTGCGGCATCGGCTAAAGATCAACTTAATCTGCGTCAATGAGGATATCTCCTCTGACACGAAGAACCCGACATGTCATTCTTTGTGAAACTAATAATATCATCCGTGGGATGCACTCACTATGCTGCTAGATCAACGTAAAAGGAATTTATAGAGGAGTTGACTCTCTGACAACATGTTCGAAACAGTAGACGTCCAACAGGCCCAGTATACTAAAACCTTTAGAATGCTAATTCAAGTTAATCTGTGTTTATTTCCAGGGTGCACAAAAGAGTCGAGCTCAGAGAACAGATTAAATGTAAAACGAAAAGAGAGAAAACATCCCAAGCTTATTTCTATGACAGCGATGAAATCAATTGCTAATTGAGCTCTGGACCACTTCCAGCAAGAACAAAGCCAAGATCATCCAAGTCATCCCCCTCCTCAAGCCTCATCATCAGTCATATCATCGATCAACTCTGTTCACCTTTTCTTTCTTTCGGGCCAAGATCCCGTCTCTCGGCATCAACAGAGCACTGCCTCGGCGGGTTCCGCCGTTGATGTCATCAATTCGACTCTCATAATTGTTTGTTTTCAAGGCATTGCGAGAAGAATCTGTGTTTTCTAAACATAGAGCACGCAATGTAATCAAAGACACAATGAAACAGAAAAGAACAAGAAGACATGTTATATGTCACAGATGTGGAAACCATTGGAACAATTGCCAATATACTTTGACATGTTATATGAGTGCTAATAAACCGAAAGCTAAGGATATCCACAATCGAACACACAGATCACCATTAACAAGCAACAGCAGGTTAAAGAGGATGGAAAACCACTCAAGACAGAGGAACAGAGAAAGAGAGAAGCACAGACAAACAAAAGGGATACTCATATGCAACATTTAAGGCTTGAAATTTGCAAATAGGCAGTCTTAAAATATGAGAGACTAATCATATATTTGTCAATTAAATGTGAACTGCGTGAACTATATGAGACAATAGCAACTTGATGTAAATTAACAGACAAGAAAAGATAAAGCAGATAACTAAATGTAGGCAGGCCAGTTTGCCATTAACCATCAAGAAGGTAAATGGAACACAAACACCAGCAATGCCAAGAGATTTGGGCAACAGGGAAAAAAAGGATACCCAAAGAACTTGAGAACCTCGGCAAAGTTGCCATCTAGCAACACTTCTGGGCTTATAAACCAGGATAAGAAAGGACTTTAAGTTGATGGTTAAATGTTGGCAGGTGAGTTTAACCATCAACCATCAAGAAGGTAAATGGAACACAAACACCAGCAATGCCGATAAATTTAGGCAACAGGGAAAAAAAGGATACCCAAAGAACTTGGTAACCTCGGCAAAGTTGCCATTTAGTAACACTTTTGGGCTTATAAACCAGGATAAGAGAAGACTAAGAGTTGAAGGTTAAATGTCGGCAGCTGAGTTTACCATTAACCATCAAGAAGGTAAATGGAATACAACAACCAGCAATGCCATGAGATTTGGGCAACAGGGAAAAAAAGGATACCGGAAGAACTTGGTAACCTCGGCAAAGTTGCCGTCTAGCAACACTTTTGGGCTTATAAATTAATCAAATTACCAGGATAACAAAAGACTAAGTTGACAATTAGATCTAAGAAGCTAAGTTTCTCATTAACCAACAAGAAGGTAAAGGGAACACAAACACCAGACATGCTGAGAGATCTGGGCAACAGGAAAAAGAAGGAAATGGAAATCAACTTGGTAACATCAGCAATGTTGCCATCTAGCAACACTTTCAGGCTTTTAGAAGAGGTTAATTCACCTCCTAAGAGATCAATAATTGGATTTTCCAATCAAAGCTCCCGTAAATCAAACTCTTCAAGTTCCAACATTTCCAATGATCAAAAGGCATACCAAAAAATTTGAGCAAAACCAATCTTAGTTATGAATAGAACTATGGATTAAATATTCTGGAACAAAATAACAAAAGTGGGAAGCATTTGCAACAAGGAGAAAAAAAAAAGTGACTAACAATGTGGCAAAATTCACTAAGTTTATATCTGAGAACCATCTTATAACTGCATTTATTTTGTTGGTACATCAGAGTCACATTTGTTCACACACACAAAAACATGGAAGTGGGTTCAGAGCATTGACTGAATAATGCAATCAGATATTCTAAATGCTTTATTTCCATCAGCACAGATTAACAAAGAAACAGATCTATGAGAACCCATAACAATATCCAAAAACAATTTGTTTTCAATATATGCCCGTGTTAAGCTCATACAGCACAACCCACTTAGGCATAAGGCCATGTGAAAGATTGACAAAATCTAACAATTAAACAAGCTCCTTACCCATGATTTTTCAAAAGCCACTCAAGCCAAAACTTGTCAACTTCTACAAATGTCAATATCCATCTAGCCATCAGAGATGCAGTTGCTTAATTGCCAGTGGGAAATATGACTTTACATACTTTCTTGAAAAAACATCAAAAACTAGAATATTTAAGACAACACATATTACAAAAAGATTGTAGTAGAGATACATAGGAAATGCATACATGTGGAAGCTAATTATAGAACATAGACTATAGAATTGACATGCAATCTCAATAAAGAAATTGTCTAAAATATATACTACAAGTTTGTGTAGCAACTCATGTCCTAGAAGCTATGCCAATACATATGGACATGAATCATGGTACTACAGAGGAAACAAACAGAAAAAACATACAGAAAACATGCAGGATGAGATAAGGTGCCTATTCAATGTTATGCCTGAACAAATTATTTTTAGATAACTAGCTCAAAGAGAAAACGCAGGATGAACCTACAACATTAAGCTTGCTCCTTTGAAATTTAGGTAGCTTAGGCTTGAGTTATGAAAACAGCCTTTCTACTTCATGGGGTGAGGCTGCTTTACATTAATGCTCAGACAGGAGCCTCATGCATCAGGTTCAGTGTAGTGCACATGACCAGCAAAACTAATGAACCTCAAGCCTCAGCTTTTGCATAAACCACCAAATATGTCTTACAAACTAAGACATAATCCTCCAAAGACAATACACTGAAATATGTTCAATAGCACACGGAAAATCGTATGCAGTGTTTAATGAACAATGTTTTTTGTTTGAAAAACAAAACTACATGAGCTTTGACCTCATTATAATTTCTACATCTTGTTACTGATTGAGCTCCAAAAATAGGCAATTCTGAATAAGAATTACATAAACAAGTTTGGCCTTGACGCCTTGTACGTGGTTTTCAGCTTCCTGCTTGGAGGTCTAACCTTCTTAAACACTAGAGGAAACTTGATTTTGGAATCATGAAACTGCTTAGTGCTCTCCCTCTTGCAAAGCTTAGAAGGTATTGTAGCTGTTTTAATTATCTGAATACAGTGATACCTTACTCGATGACGTGAAGCCATCTCATTATACATCTGTTCAACAGCACCATTCAGAGTAGTATCACGATATTCCTTGTACATGTTGTGATAACCTGTTCTGCTCTGATATCGAAGCCAGATGCCATAGTTCTTGATTTTAGTGGGCTTCCGCTCAAAAATCTGCATTTTCATCAAATCTTCACAGTGAAAATATGGAAACAGAAATCCTGAACAACAAACCTACACTACAACACAAGCATCGAAGGCAGTAAACAACTAAAATATGCATGTCCCCACAATCAAATCACGACGAGATCGGGACTGAACCGACAACTACCACAAAGCTGTCATTGTATGACTAGTTCTGTTCAAAATCATTTGTCAACACGGACCACAAACAATCATATACTGTTACAGAATTTGGGATCAGCAGATGCATCATGCACATCAAACTTCCATATCTTCGAAACAAATGCAACATAACCCATTTCTATTTATAGTAAGACAAATGGCCACGTGACACCAACGTTAGTATATTATAGACAACATGATACATTAACACACCAAATTAACAGACAATTAATATATCTTGAGTGAGAGATATAAGATCAACTTGCATTGTGACTGGATACTGTATGAATCAAAAAATATAAAAGGAAAAACAGTTAAGCAAACACAGACTAGATAGAGTGGAAAGAAATGAAAAGACCAACTAAAGTTCTTTCCATCTCCAAAGTCTCCACAATTCAACAAGGAACTGACCCCAGAGAAAACAAATTTGTTCCCTGTTCCTTTATAAACCTTGAACACTTTTAGTTCCCTCTCACCATGTGTCACACCAGAAAGAGAATGTAAATGAATTTTTTTATAACAAGATACCCCCTAACTACTGATAGAGCGCAGTAAAACAGATTATGGCCAAACAAGATCTATTGCAAAAGAAAAAGTATATATCGAAGGTAAGGACTAAAGGATAGGCGTAAGAATTAGAAACCTCGTTGATCGCCAACACTTGTCCGTTGCTCTTCTTAACCTTCTTAAGCTTCCTCAAGAAGTACCTACGGTAGCCATAGAATCAAAAAAACACGAATCTCAAGGAAAGAATTTGGGATCTTTATAAGTAGAATTCGGAATGCGCACCAGAACTTGGATTTGGCGCGGACCTCGTTCGTAGCCCACAGCTTCATTCGGTAGATCTTCGGGTGCTCATCGGTCGCCGAAGGGAGAGCTCTCCCGACCACTTGATACTGATGGAACTGCAAACAACAAGCGATAAAGAACGATTAACGAAAACTCTTAAGAAACGTCCGATCCACGGCGGCCAACACGCCTACGACCAAAGCAGACGTCAATGAAGAGGAAACGGTAGGAATCGAGAACACAAGAGAGCGCGTTGAAGCCCTATGATAGAAAAGAAGGACGACGATAAAGACAAGAACGAGGACCTACCCTAAAAACCACCATGTCCAAGATTTCGAAATCGTCGTCTCCGCCTTCCCCCTCCTCCCCTCCCTCGGAGCCACTGGCGGCTGACGCACTCGATCGCAGGAAGGCGTTATTGGTTTCGTACTTATAGAAAGGGCGCCACGAACCCTACTACGCATCAAAATTGGCCGAACCAATTCGTGTTCGGCTACACGAACCATGGACTTATATATGTACCTAAAGCTTGACCCATTAGTTGCAGATGATCCATTATGATCGGGCCACGTCGTAGGGAACGGTTCGGCCAAAATTTTCGATGAATCGGATCGAACGATTTTATCAGCAGTGTTCGGATCCGATTAACGCAACACATATGAGGACACACACACACACACACACACACATATATATATATATATATATTTATTTATTTATTTATTTATTTATTTATTTATTTATTTATTTTATTTATTTATTTATTTATATTTATATTTACTAATAGAACTTTTCTAATATTTATCCCTAAAGTCAATAATCTTAAAAGAGACATAATTTCAAATTATAGTTCCTCGTAATATTATCTATAAAAATCTTACTAAGGTACTATATCTTGGTTCATTTTCTAGATTCTATGATTGACGGTAGTCTGTTTTTGTTAGGGGTCACAATATTTATAATAATATAATTACTATTAATGAGCTTGTCACATCATATTTATATTTCACAAGCAAAAAATCCTCTCATCGTTATTACAATTGATATTGAAAAGCTTATGATTGAATATCTAAATATGTCATTATTAATATTATGAAAGCCGTATTTACTCTCCACTTTTTTTTTGCTACATCAATCATTATACATATGATTTCGATAAAATAAGGAGCCTATTATCTCCTTATCTTTTTTTTATTGTTCAATAGTTATTTTTTACTGTATTGGATGAGACTATTAGATCTAAGAAGATTTTTTCCTTTAGCATCAAGGATATCAAAATTTCAAACCTTATGTTTGTGGATGATGTGAGAGGTAGCAAAAAATCTTATCAAAACCTACAAAAATCCTTTGATCATTATTCTAAAACCACCAATCTCAATATCAATAAAGTCAATTTTTTTATTTATTTCTCTAGGTATCATGACCTTTCTATTAAGCACAAAATCTCTAACTTTCAGGTCATGAATCTTAGGTACCTATACATCTCACAGTTAAATACTTAAAATATTCCAATTGATTTTGGTTGATAAAAATTTAAATGGAATTCAGGGTGGAGCCATTCAAGGCTATTAATCAAGACTCATAATTTGTCTCTAGTAGTGCTACTAGAAACACACCTCAACAAAGATATGAGTTATAGTTTTATAAGAAGATTTGGAGGTTCATAAGGAGTTTTTCTTATGAAACCATTAGTAGATTTGGTGGAATACTTATTGCTTGATAAAGGATTGCTTATGGGTTGCAAAAATATTTAAGAACTAACAAGCATTATGCTCAATAATTGATGAATATGGTAAAAACCTTTGGTTTTTTACTGCTATTTATGCTAGTAATCATGCTTATATTCGTTGTTCCTCCTGAAATTAGTTATCTATTGTTAGTCTTGATTTTATCTATTGATTGTTTATGACGACTTAACTCTATTGTATCAACTTTCTTAACCTTAAAGGTTAAGATGAAACTTATAGCCCTACAAAAATAGTTACATTTTATATGATGGTCTAGGGCTAAAACTCAATGAATGAATGATGTTGATAAGAATATTAATTTTTTCATAGAATGATATGTCACAAGATTAAAAAAAATTATTTAACACATCATTCTTGAATCTCAATATTTCATCTATGATGTTAAAAGATATATTAGGTGAATTTGTTGGTTGGTATCACATATTATGGAATTACTCGGTGTATGATTAACCCTTTTTACTTTCCTAATTCTACTTGGTCTTGGTAACATGGTCTATTGTGATTTCATTAAGGACTTCAGCAGCTTGGAAATCAGAATTGCTCTCTCTTTTGTGGGGTCGATGGAATTGCTATTGAGTTCTTTCATCATTTTTATGAAGTTCTCAACCCCTATTTCATAGTTGCATTTAAATTTTTTTATAATTCTATCATTATTCCTCCTAATGACATGATTTTATCTTTAAAGTCAATAATCTTAAAAGGAGATATGATATTAAACTCATAACCCCTTGTAATATTATCTATAAAAATCTTACTAAGGTACTATCTCTTAGACCGATTCATTTTCTAGGTTCTATAATTGATCATAATCAATCTGCTTATGTTAGGGGTCATAACATTCACAATAATATAATTGTTGTTAATGAGCTTGTTTACTCCATGTTTATATCTCGAAGCAAAATTTCTTTCATCATTATTAAAATTGACACTGAGAATGCTTATGATTGAATATCTAGAGATGTCATTATTAATATTATGAAAGCTATAAACTTCTACGATATCTTTATCCATTGGGTTAGAGCTTATATTGACTCTCCACTTATTTTTACTACATCAACCATTATACATATCATTTCTTCACAACTTATAAGGGGATAAAACAAGGTGTTTGTTATCTCCTTATCTTTTTATTATTGTTCAATAGTTGTTTTCTACTGTATTGGATGAGACTATTAGATCTAAGAAGATTCTTCTTTCAGCATCGAGGATATCAAAATTTTAAACTTTATGTTTGTGGATGATGTGATTATTACCGTTAGAGGTAGTGAAAGATCTTGTCAAGACCTCCAAAAGTCCTTTGATCATTGATCTAAAACCACCGATCTCAATATCAATAGAGTCAAATCTCTTATTTATTCCTCTAGGCATTATGACATTTCTATTAAGTACAAAATCTATAACTTCTTTAATATGGAAGGAGATAGTTGGTCAAAAAATTTCAATTAATCTTAGTCGATGAAATTTTAAATAGGATTCAAGGGTGGCAAAAGAACCTTATAAATCATGCAAGAAAAATATGCTTATTTATGCTATTATTAATCATATTTATTTATACTATTTAATGATATCTTACATTTCGAATAAAATCATCCATAAGATTAACAAGACTTTTAGAGAGTTTTTTTATGACGGTCATAAATCTTAGAAGTACAACAATCTCATGAGTTGGGACTCGATTACCATGCCTAAAGATGAAGGTGGGCTAAGCATTAAGGATCTCCATATTGTTAAAAGTATGATTATACCTAGAGATTATTATCTCTTCTCAACGTGGAGAATGTACTTTGTGCCAATATTCCTAAAACTAAATATATTATTTCTTTGAGAGTCAAAGAGGCATTTATCATCCTCTAAGTCTTAAAGAAATATTCTAAGCTCCTTCAAAGCTTTGCCAACTAATTATCATTGCATTGTGAGTAATGATAATAAAATTGATTTATGAAAGGATCCTTGGTTGGGTGATATTCCTCTTCCCTATATTAGTGAATTGCAATAAGTATTATGCTTTAAGAACTATTAACTTAGCTAAGAAAATAGCTAAAATTCATATGTCCCTCATCCCTAATGATGATATCTGGTGCTAGTCTCATCATCAAAAGAGGATCATGATGGCTCGGAAGACTTATATGTTTCACAATGACGGACACCCTTATTGTTAACGCTAAGATCGACTGGAATATGATTTAGAGGTTACTGAGGTTCCAAAGATTAATTTTCTAAAAAAATTGGCGTGGAGCATACTGTTTACATTTGAATGATTTTCTAAATTCTCTAGCACTCCCATGCTTATTTGCCTCGTCTGTTTGAGGTTTATTGATTCAATTGTGCATAGCATAGTTTCATGGTTTTTCTTGAGTGAAAGAATGTAGATTATTGGACGAGGGCAACGGGCTTAAAAAGGAACAAAGTGACTATATGCATACTATACTCTTTGTAATTGATAGGGCATAATTTGATAGTGTGCCCCCAAGCAGCCATCCACAATCACATCAACGCCAATGAAAGGCTTCGAAGTCAATATGGCATACCACGTCAATACAATGCCGCCTCGCAAAAGTTGGGATGACATCGCTCGGGTACAACGCTGCCCCGTAAAGAATGAAATGACGTTGCTCGAGTGTAACGTTGTTTTGCAAAGATAAAGATGGTGACGTTGCTCGGGTACGACAACACCTCGCAAAGAGTGGAACGACATCGCTCGAGTACAACTCCGTCCCGTGAAGGCAGGAACGACATCGCTTGAGTGCGACGCAGCACGAGACAACCACTGTCAGCATGAAAGGTATGGGTTAGCCGCTTAAGAGGTCGACGACCATTAAGAGACTAGAGGCAGCAACTCCCGTGGGTAGGCATAAAACCTATTAGTTGATCAAAACGGGGGAGATTTTTTTCCGTTCAAGCATTCTACTCTCACTTGTTTAACCAAAAGTTAACTCAAACTTCGGAAGGGTTGAGTTAAGAAATCCCCCTCCCGATCTCGACCTGTGTGCAGGAGCCTAACGACGGAAAAGCACGCCACCCGTCAAGAGAGAAGGTCGCCCTCGGGTGAGGAGGCTCGAACCCGACCCGACACTCGAGCGTCAATACGAGAGACGCTGCGCATCAAGGACTCCAAGACAAAGGGTTGCACCGAACACGGGACGATCGACGCCAGTTCGTGAGACCTGAGCATTAGACTAGGCAATCTTACCGTGCTAACTCTCCGACGTAAAAGGATACTAACAGTAACCAATACAGTGATTGTCATTTTCATAATCGCAATATCTAAGTTACAACAGTTTGGTATAAGATGTGTGCTCTCGTCTAGATGAATGATATACACAGTACATGTTGTAGGAAGCGATGTACTTATTGAAACGGATGCACCCTTTATGAGTTGTAATGTTTGTGCAGGTTTAGGCTTCATTCTCAAATATCGACAAGGGAATTTAATGGTTGTGGGTTGTCTTACTACACCTACTAGCTCAATTCCACTTGCAAAGTGCGAAGCCATTTTGGGAGGATTATATTTTATGACCAAAAAAATATAGATTCACTTTGACTGCAATCAAGTGGTGACAGCTCTAAATAATTTTGAGGCTATGCATTGGTTTTTTAGAAATACTATCTGATTATTTGTTTAACAAATAATATAGTCAACTATCATGATCTCATGTTCATTTTATATCCACCTGTTTAAGCTTTAATATAGTATATTATTTATTTATATATAAAAAGAACACCTACCCCATAATGCACATAATATTATATTAGCAAATTGATATCATCTGAAGTTTCATTTAATATAGTCTGTTATTTATTTATTAAAGAAAAAACACCGACGCATAATATATTAGCAAATTGAGTGGGTCTTCAAAGCACATAATGACAACAGATTAGGTTTGCACAAGTGGCATAAAACAACAGGAATGGGTCCGTAATCACTCCTCTGCAACGATGCACTCCATCAGATGTCAACGATCACAGCAGAAGACATCGGCAGCCATTCACGTGAAAAGAGGGAGGGAAACGAAGGTGGACGACAGTTCGACGCGGGAAACGAGGGAAACGAAGTGGCTACAGCTACGTGGCGATCACTGCGGCGGCACTGCTCATCCTCTCCGCGTGCCACTTCCGGATCTCCTCTATCAAATCACTCAGGCCCTTGTAAGACGACCCGCCCTCGGTCACCGCCGCCCTCGCCATCTTCCCGTGCTCCCTCGCCCTCCTGCGCATCGCCTCCGCCTCCTCCCCGCCGCCCATCACCCTCGCCACTGCCTTCGCGAGCTCGACCGCCCCCACGAGTGGGCGCTCTGACTCTGCCGTGCTCCCGGGCCGCTCCGCCGCCCTCACGCCCATCCGCAGCACCCCCACCACCAGCTTCTCGTTGATGAACTGCTCCGTCGACAGCGGCCACGTGACCATGGGCAGGCCGGCGGTCACCCCTTCGAGCACCGAGTTCCACCCGCAGTGCGTCACGAACCCGCCCACCGCCGCGTGGGCCAAGATGGCCACCTGCGGGGCCCAACCCCGGACCACCAGCCCCCGGCTCGCCACCCGCCGCTCGAACCCGTCCGGCATCCACTCGTCGACGTCGTCCCTCACCACCCACAGGAACGGGTGACCAGCTGCCTCCATCCCCAGCGCCATCTCCCGGAGCTGCTCGCCCCTGAAGTGGCTCCAGCTTCCGAAGCACACGTACAACACCGACTTCGGTTCCTTTGCGTCGAGCCACGAGAGGCACCGCGCGCGATTTGCGGCGGCGACAGGGTCGTCACCACCGCGCGCACCAAGGCCCTTGGCGTCGGCGTTTGCCAGCGCCACTGGGCCCACGAACCAGCTCCTGATGCTACCGACTTTGTGGTAGTGTTCGGCATAGGCCTCTTCCATCTCGGCGAAGCTGTTGACGACGACGCCCAAGCTGCCTTTCTCCGCCTCTGCGAGCTCTTCAAGGATGCCTGTAATGATGGTTTCCCCTCGAATGAAGTCGGGGAGCTCGGAGGGGACTAGGTGCACGGGGTGAGGGAGGTCCGGCACGAGGAAGGGCTCGTTGTCGCCAGAGGTGGCCAGGTGGGGTCTCTTGCGGATGACGGAGGCCATGACGCAGACAGGGAAGAGGCCCAGCGCCTGGAAGGCGATGCGCGGGACGCCAAGATCGCGAGCGATGTAGGTGGTCCAGGGGAAGTGAGTGTCGGCGACGACAGCGTCAGGGCGGTGGAGGCGGAGGAGGCGCTCGTGTTCGGGGCGTGCGAAGGGGGTAGCGACGTCGATCTTGTAGGAATCGGAGGGAGGCAGGGCGCTGATGTTCTCGACGCCCGGGGGAAGGTCGCACTCGGAGGAAGGGAAGGGGTAGACGAGAGTGCGGAGGGGGAGGCCGGAGGCGGCGGCGTCGTCGACGGTGGCGCGGATGAGGGCGGCGTTGGCGGGGGTGACAAGGACGGTGGAGTCAACGCCCCGGGCGGCGAAGAGGCGGGCTATGTCGACCAAGGGGATCATGTGGCCAGTGGCGAAGAAGGGGATGAAGAAGACGCGGATCGCCCTGGCATCGTTCTCAGAGGCTACGGAATCCATCACATGCCTCCCAGATCACGAAACCCCTCATTTAATGGTATTGATGGTGCTAAACCTGCAAAGCACGTCCATTTCTTTAATCGCACGGGGATCGCGTGATGGACGACCACCAACTTCTTCGATCTCGTCTTTGATTAGCTCCATTGAAGCCAACAAAGTCGGAAAACAATCGAGAAGTGAACATCTCCGTAAGAATTCAATATACAAGGATGATCCTTGAGGAAAATTGAAGAACATCACCCAGCATCTACGTTGGAATTAAGATTGGAGTCGAGAACAGAGTGGTCAGAAGTGGCCTCAATACGAGGACAGAGGATATCGGAACAGCCTACCAAATAGCAGTCTCTCTATAAAATCTCTCGCGTCCTACTGCTAAATCACTCTTCATCTCCAATGTCTCACCTTATACACCGAGAAGCTTTCCTACTGCTACGTAGGGAAGCTTCATGATTCATGAACCATGACTCGTGAATTGCCTGTTGGTGACACTCTCGGCACCCTCGAATGATTCAGAGGCTCTAAGCACGCCGGTTCCGGCGCCGGCGCCTCTTAAGGCAGCTCCCACGTCGCCGATCGCGGCGCCCCCCACGAAGGAGAAGCCGGGCGGGAAATTAAGCAGAGCCTTGGCGCCCCGCATCCGGAATGCCGCCCGGTCGTAGGCCACCGCAGCCGCCTCCGCCGTGTCGAACGTGCCGAGCCAGAGGCGGGCGCCGTTCCGGGACGAGTCGCGGATCTCCGCCGCGAACTTGCCCCACGGCCGCCGCCGCACCCCCCGGTACTTCCTGAAGTGCCCCGTCGGCCGGGCACAGTTGCAGATGAAGCCCGCGTCGCCTGCCGCAGCCGGAAAAGACAACGACGGTTGCTCCACGGCGGAGGAGGCGGCGGATGAGGAGGAGGAGGAGGCCATAGCGGACGCCTCGGAGAGGACCTCAAAGAGGACCATGTCCTGGGAGTCGTTTTCATTGAGGGGCAGCTGCGTCTGGCAGCACTCCTCCTCCTTGGCGACCACGGCATGCCGCACGTCGGGTGCCATGCTATGGCCGACCTCTTCTGTGGTGGTATTTGAATCCTACAAAGGCTTGAAGAGGGGCGGGTTAATCTATCGAGGAGGTCGCGGAAGACGAAGGTGCGAGGAAGGAGCCGGAGGTAGCCTGTCCGCCTGATGTCTCGGTTCAACGGCAAAAAGGACGAGGAGAGGCGTGTTTGGATTGACCGGCCGAGTCAAGAATGAAAAGACTAGCCCGATGACATGAACCGGGTGGGTCGGTGAACTGAGGATCTCACAGACTCGGGTCCGAGATCGCAGGTTGGGTTCGATCATTGAGTTGCTATTCGAAGTTTGAAGATTCCAAAGGTCAAAGGTGGGTCCCACGGAGGTCCATGTTTTCCAAGCAGGGCCCATTTGACTCGTCCAAAATGAACTCCAACAAAGACCCACGTGGTCCTTGACAAGAATCCACAGACGAGCCGCTCGGCGACGTCTACTGATCCACGAAAGCTACCCTGAGTTTTTTTACACGTGGACAGAAAAAAAAGTAGATTCCACGTTATCGATGAGATGATGCCGATGTGGTGGTATCCATGGAACACATTTCCATCATTCATGCATGCGTTTTTCGTATGTGAATGAATGCGTTCATGCATTACGCACTCGCATGTCATTTGCATGGGAATAGGCCTAATATGTCGTGTTTTGGGTCTGCGGGCGTGAAAGGAGTCGACATGTGTTTCATCGCTCCTCGGGGGAAAAAGGTGGTTTGTGATTTGGATGATCGGCATGCAACTCGTTTTTGTTTATGGAAATAATGTTTATGGAAATAAGCGAAAGTGTTGTGCTCTATGTAGCAGTGGACTACACCAAACTGGGCTTCTTCCGTAACAGCAAAGCTGATGGAGTCTTGTAGTTCATGAGATGATCAGTGATGATAATACATCATGATAGTTCTCCTTTATTTCCTTCCACTTCTTTAATAAATGACATTTCATTATTAAAATCATATGATATTATATTAAAAATGTTCAAATGCTATAGTATTTTAGTATTTAAAATTTTAAAGTATCCCATGACATTATCTAAAATTATAAGATCGTAAACATGATTTAGTAAGAAACTAACATAACTTATATTTCTATAAGGTGAAACTTTATTTATTTATTTTTAAAGGTTATTTTATATTTATTTATCTGATAATATTTTTTGTTTATTATATATTTGGACTATACAAATTTTTTATAATATTATAAATATATATATTATTTATTTTATTTATTTACTTAAAATAAAAAAAAAATCTTATTTTTAAATAAATATTACAAATTAAACCGATAAATTTCTTATAAAATAAAAAATTAATTTTTGAAATACATTTTTATATATTATTTACCGAAGGCATTTCAATATTACATAGTCACTCAAACTCATTTCTCTAACTATGCATTAAAAAAATATTAATATATTCTAAAACGTTGTCAATATATCCAACTCACTAAATTTTGTCATGTCGAGCTTAACAGTTTAGTATTTATCGTTGAATATCGAATTTTCATGATGAAATCAATTATAATTTGTTTGATCTAATCCATATATTGAAAAAAAGTGTACAGGATTACATACGATAGCAGTAAGACATAAAATAGGTGTTATGTCGGAGTCAAGATCGAGATAATGTTGGGAGCTCGAGAGTTGGTCGGAAGTTCTACCGGAACCAACTGAGAAGTCCAAGAGCTTGCTAAAGAAGCTCATCGGAACTTGCCAAGAAGATCGTCGTAAAGTCCAAGAGCTTGTCGGCAGTCCGCGCGGAGCATTGCTGAGAGTTCGTCGGATGTTCACCGGAAGTACAACGGAAACTCGCCGAAAGAGTAATTGATGCACCGGAATAAGAAGTGCAGTAAACATGTCTTAATTATCATAGTTAGAGCGTAAATTAAATTAAGATTGGGAGATAATCCCACTAACTTAATTAGAGGCCAACTGGGCCCTTCACATGGTTGATTTGGGCCAGATTGAACAGCCCAATCAGCCCTTGAAAACATGGCCGACGGTGGCACCGTTCAGAAGACCCAGTCTCTTAGGTGGTCTGGGCAATTGTACCACCGATAGTTATTGTTGTCAGGTGGTGGTACTGCTAGAGCTTTCAGTCTCCGAGCTCTGTCAAGCGGTGGTATCACCCAGTGTCGGGTGTCGGGCGATGGTACCACCACGACCCTAGAAATCCGGGATTATATACTTTTTGACTCCATTTTTAAAGTCATTGAGTCATATAAAAACTTCACCCTTTTCTGCATGAAAGGGCATGAAAGCATTGAGATATTCTTGAATTGTTGGGGTGTAAAAGTGTTGTAAGAAAGTGCTAGAGTTCTCCTCATCACTTTCTAAGTTTTGAGATCATTCAAGAAAGGTGTGAGACTTGTAAGGGTTCTTTCCTAAACCCGTGAAAAGGAAAAAGCACTGTAAAAAGTGGTTGGTCTTCACCTATTGAAGGAAGGCCTTCAGTGGACGCCGGAGACCTTGTCGGAGGAGGAATCCGAAAGTGGATGTAGGTCACGTTAACCGAACCACTCTAAATTCTGGTTTACTTTTTATAAGTGTAATTTACTTTAACCGTAAATCATTTCATAGTAAACTGTTTATTCTCCTCATCTTACTTATACTCTCGTACGTTTCAAGTTACTATCATCCGATTTAGTTTTCATCAAACATACGAAATATTTTATACGAAAATCTAAGAATTTTTCGCTGCACTAATTCACCCTCCTCTCAGTACCGCTCTTGATCCTAGCACTTATTATCTTTATTTTTGAATACCACAACTTAGATTTGTATCCCACGAAACATTTAATTTTTATTCATAATTTTTCTTTTTAACATAAAATACTAGTTTATTATTATTTGATTTGAATTATTAGGAAAAGCATATGATTTTTATTATTATTTATTCATTTTATGAAATTGTTAAGTTATCTTATCAAAATTTATATGAAAATATATGTACAATATTATATTTAAAAATAATTAAAAATATCTTATTATTATTCATTTTAAATGATATGATTGCATCAGTATTGAAATGAAATGCAAAACTAGATATCTTGAAAACCTTAGTTTGGTAAAAAATTAATTGATATGTTATTTTCATAATATGGAAGTTGGAAAAAAATAATTAATATGTTATAAATTGATATTTATTTAGAAATTAGTTTTTTTTTATCCCGGTACAAGGAGATATATGTTATCTATAATATGGGAGTTGAATATGATTTTGAACCTTATCATGAAGATATAATATGACTATAACCATTGATACTGCTATGACTTTTGTTTAAACATGTACACCTTAGCTATATTTATGATTATGAATTCTTGAATATATATTTTTATTTATTTAATAAAAGTTAATGATAGTCTTTAGACTATAATGTTTATGCTGACATTAGTTATATTTATGCATTTAAATTTATTTTACATTTGAAAAATATTATTAGCAAGCTATTTGAAATGCATATGAAACTGATATTTTATAAAATTTATAAGCTTGAAGAAAGTATTTGATATTTATGCATGTTCGAAAGCACGTGTTAAATGCATAAAGATTTCATATATTTTAAATATAATATTTATTAAAAAAATATTATATTACCTCAGAATAAAAATAAGATTTCATATATTTATTTAAAATATTATTTCATATATTTTGGGTTCATTTAATTTTCACACTTTCAGTAGCTTTTTATGGTAATTACCTCAGAATCCTCGCTATGCTTAGGTCATAGTGTGTATATCCTGACAGAGAGAAGATAAAAGTCTAAATACAATGCAAACAATGGAACGCGTGACATGTCATGCATGCACGGTAAAAAGTCCTGATGTTAGTCCAAATGCTAAAGCAGAATAAAAGAGCTGCACTTCTTTTAGATTGTCATGATGAACAAACACATCATTTACACCTCAGAATAACCTTATCTGTGCTCTATCATCTGTAAGAACTTTGTTACTTTACTTCATCGTCCATCTTGAGAAAGCTTAAATCATGTCACGAAGAACTCCTCGTCTAATCAGTAGCATATTCTACAGGTCTTCTAAAGCTGCATGACGACTAGTAGCCACCCAGTTTTGAAGATAGAAAGTATTGCTCATCAATGCTTTTACTTTGAGGAGGCAAACCAGAAGAAAAAGCAATCACAGAGATCAAAAGGTGCCCACCCGATCATTCTCTCCCTCATCCTTTCCAGTTTTCGCTGCAAGAATATGCAAACGAATCAAATTTTCATGAAACTTTTAGCTGCCTCCACGACTGCGTTTTCGTTCGTGATTGATGATTCGGTGGAGAACAGGATAAGTTGTGTCAATTTCTAATTCGTATCCACCCACTCAATGATGATGCACGAATGGTTGGTGCATCAACACCTAAGAAGTCTCTTGTTTCTCCTTCTGGTCCTTCGTCCTTCTGCGCCGCATGATGTCTCGTGGAGTACATCATCCTGAGTGGATCAGCAGCGTTCTCCATGGCGTTTCCTGGATGAGTAGCTGAGTATGAACGGTTCGTGTTGAGGTTTCGGATGTTACTGTCAGGGCTCTTCGCCTCTGATGTTGGACGGGATGCTGTTACACCAATCTGTGCGGCTCTCTTCAATAACGCAGTTGCAGACGTGTCCGGCGCCGGCGGCACTAGGTGGTGGTGATGCTGGGTGCTGTAGTGATATGGAGCACTTAGGAGAAGGGAGTATGGGTCTTCAGTTTCCTTCATGCCGCTCATCGGAAGTGTGATGCTGCTAATTAGCTCATCTGAGCCCCAAGGAACCAGCTTGTTTTGATAGATCCAGCTTAACTGGGATGCGAAGGGATCATCGGCTTTAGTTAAGGTCTCTAGAGGAGGTGCTTGGCCCATCAAGAGAGAGAGCCCAGATCGTGCCTCATCAACCATTTCACCCTCAACCACCGGAGGCTTCAGAAAGGAAGGGAAGTTCTGCACCACGTTTGATCTCATCAATCCGTCAGCAAAGTTCAAGTTGCCGTTGTGGATGGAAGTCACTCTGCTGCTCATGTGTGAGGCTGCAACTCGTGCCGTCTCTTCCGCTAAGGCGTCGCAGAAGGCCCTGTGGGTTATGAAGCTGTCCCTCCTGTTCATCAAAGAACATACAACGATATGAAAGCTGCAGCAGCAGCAAAGCAAGGCAACGATCGTGAGGTGTGGGCTTGAATTTGCTGAGTACATGCACCATTTATGTTGATTAGTGTCACAAGCTTGCTTCAAAATTAGTGTTAGGTTATAGCATACATACATCCATACATAGCAGCAAGAACAAGAAGGAGATATGAAAGGATCGATCGTATCCTTGGATGCTGCGATAGCTCATATTTTTTAGGGAATGATTGCTGGAAGAGTACCTGGAGAAGATGGTTCCACAATCGCAGCGGTATTCCCGGGTGCCACAGGTCTTGGAATGGGCTTTCCAATCCGACTGCACCGCGTAGCACCTGGAGCACTTTTCGCACTTCCACTTCTTCTCGCCATGCTTGCGACAGAAGTGCTTCTTGATGCCGGTGAGGTCGCCGAGCGCCCTCGATGGGTGGTGGTGCACGCAGGTCTTCTCCGGGCACACGTACACCCTCTTCCTAGGCTCCTTGCTCGTCCTCTGCCTCAGCTTCCACGGGAGGTTATGGCCGCGGCGGTGGAGCTGCAGGTTTTGATCCCTCTGGAAACCTTTGCCGCATATCTCGCACACGAACCGGTTGGTGGCCATGAGAGTCTTCGGAGACAAAGCGATCACTTCCGCTTCAGGATCTGCTGCGTGCAATTCACTTCATAATTAGCATTATCAGAACAAAAACAAAGTAGAGAAGAAGAAGACATATCCTATCATTAATTGCCTGGCGTTCCGGGTAGGCTTCTCTTCTTCTTGTTCACCGTAGGAGGATTGGAACTCGGATTCTGGATTGAGGAGGCTGAGACTGCTTCTCCTGCCATCGCTCTCTTCTTCCTTCTCACTCGATCCAAAGATTAGAGAACTCCTTTGCTTCGCCTGAGGGGTGCTTATGAAATGGAGAGAATCATTTTCTTATAGGAATGGTGGTGAAAGGTGGACGGAGAGTGACGGGCGAAGCCGAGGAAAGAGAAAGGAAGGAGGGGCAAAAGCTGTGGCTTGGTGCCTTTCCTGTTAGGAGTCACCATCCCATACTAAGTTAATCTTCTTTTGCTGCAACCCAGGTGATCAACACATGTCAAGATGCAAGCACTCATCCTGTCAACTTGAGCGCAAGCTGGGCATTGCCTTGTGCCTACTCCCATTCAAAAAGCCTACCCAAGGTATTAGGTAGATCAGGTCCAATTAATTATCATGTACTGAGTTCTTATCTCATTCTTTTGACTTGCATGCTGACTGTGTTATCTCCTCCGGTTACCAAAGAAATGAATGGTATATATCTAAGAAAATGACTGTGATCAATTAGGTGTCTTTCCTACTCGTTTGAAAGTTCCAGTGGGTCAACATTTCAGGTGCCTCCAACGAGAAGATTACGGTGGTCACAGGTACACGACGCCTAATGAGACAAAGAGACGACGCTAACAAAAACCTGTGTGTTCTTCACTCGATCCGTGATTGGTATGCTTCACCCTCGCTGTGGTCACAGTTTTCTCTCCTCCGGACTCGGTCGGTATTATCTTATTCACACATGGAAGCACACATCTAATATTGCTCTCCTTGTCGCAGCTGTCTCGTAGTTCGAGGAGCCATTGATCTGTAAATGCAAGACCGAAGAAACTCTTCCACCATTTCATCCAAACACCGGATCATAAGACAGTCATCACGCAGCTATTCATCCTCAAAAGAAACAGGGGGTTGTTCCCCCCATGACACGGGCTTGAGGAGGTCGTCGGCCTGTGAGCTGACTTCTCCGAGAGAGGCTCAATGATCCCGTAATGATGCGTGGTGTGCACGTCAGGCTTTGCAAAAGGAGCTGCTTTTATTGTAATGGGAGCTTCTTGGAGCTTAGCTTGTGGACTGCAGTGGCTCCCAGAATATTCTCACCTCGTCCAAAGCCTCAAGCACTACCTCCCAACATCTTTCCGACAATGGGTTCCTTTCCCAAGCCCAAATCTACCGCCCTTTTAGGTCAGGGTTCACTGCCTCCTCATATCTTTGTCTTAGGAGCTGCATAGAGAGAGAGACTTCGTCACCAAGAGTATGTATGTTTCTTTTGGATTGATTTGGAGTTGTATCAGTAGGTGCTGAGGAACCAAAGAGTAAAAGATCAGCATCCTAATGCAGTATTATACTCCTAAATGGTACTGCCTTGATCCTGCACTCAACAACACCTTGGAACAGAAGAGTAGTGCAAGCAACAGGTTTGCATCAACAAATACAGTCTTATTCATACTATTGTCATTCGAATCACATTCATAAAAATCATAAAGAAACAATCTTTTTATGATTCACTTAATTCCATTCTTATTATTCTTTATTTTGTGTTAAGGATTGCCTTTTATTCTCATCTATTATTCGCAATAAATTCCAACCTAACAGCAGTAATAACAAAGCGATGGCTCAGTAGTTCTGTATCATGCGTAGATGGGCACAATCATGCATGGATCTCGGTATTATTATAATGCAGCATAAATATATGCGCCTCCACCACATGCATCTGTTCATATAATAACACCTGGCAATCTTTTGCTGCTGCTGTCGATGTGCTCTCGAAGGAGACCGATGCCATGGCCCACTCATCATGCACGAGTTCGGTCTCGTTAACATGACACACCTAACAAGGGCATATATAAATAACCTTATCTAATAATAGCAATCACTATAATCCTAACATGGTGCTCATCTCCTCGAGCTGAGTTTTGATAAGGATATAAACATGAATAATCTTTGTATATGAACAAATACTATTTTACCATAATACACAGCGAAATTAAATAGAACCAGAATCAAATAGAACACCAAGATATACGTTGAAAACTTTTTCAATGCGAAGGGTAAAAACCACGGGGCAAACTAGAGATAATCCACTATGAGAATAATGAATATACAAATCTCAATCTCTTGTCCTAAACCCTAGCAATAATCACAAGAGAATAACTGTGATACAAGGATCACGTCACTACATACAATACCCAAAACCTCCCCAAGTAATCACAGCAAGAGTCTACTGTATATTTGATCTAACATGAGATGAGAACACTACTAGATGATTGAGAACAGTCTCTCTGTGTTGTCCTTGTCTTTTTCTGCCTCTAAAACACAATCATCACACCCCCTTAATGTTAATTAGGGTTAGATTAAGAGGGGTGAGTTATGGGCTACCCAAGTCCGCTATGGGATGAATTTGTGGGCTGCCAGCCCAACAAGTTTAACGAGTTGTTTGATCAAAGATTAATGGAATCCATGGAACCTTAACATCCATTACCAAGATAATTTTATGAATTATTATTATTCTGAGTTATTCTTTATACTTTCAAAAATACATTAATCTCCGATAAATATTCGAGAGTAAACATCAATTTTGCCGATAGGAAATAATGAAAAATGGATGCAAATTAAACCGTGTCGGGTTGGCCAGGCATTAGCCCACGAAAGGCCTAACAATCCTGTAGAGTTCCAGTTCTACGAGTCATCAGCGCCAGCCAACGAGAATGCACGTCAAGAACACGGAGTTTGACGACTTTGACAAGCTCATAGATCGACGCTCTCTCGATGACGCCTTGTGGGCACCAAGTCTCGAAGATATCGGTCTCATTCGCAAACCGAGTCGATTGCGATGGAAATCTCCGCCCTAAGACAGCGTTGACGGGAATGCGGCCGCCGCCAGTGAGGCCATGCGGGAATTGGTCTTCTACGTTTACACCGTAGGATAACACCTCTCCCGGGTTGACTCAGACGTCGTCGCTAGGCCTGTCGCCGGCGCGGAAGTCTACCGTCAACGGTTTTTTGGTGCCAAAGCCAGTGTTTCGTCACGTGTTTTCCGTGTGACTTGGGCTTCCCTTTTGCCTCCGACTCACTTATCATCTTTCGACGATGGAACACATCGAGTGAGAAAACCACGTGGTTTCAAGGATGAGATGGAGCCCTTGGAATGTGACATACCGACGCGTAGATGCGCATGCAGTGACGTTCGTCCCGCATGGAACACGGACGGCCACCACGTGGCGCTGGTCTAAACAGAAGACGGTGGCCGGTGACTATTGCTTTTATATGCAAGCAATGACGTACAACCCGGAGGATGGCACATGCACGCGCACGTGCTGAAGCCCAACCTGATTGACGCACCTACTTCCGGCACGACAACGGTGAGCCGAAGGTGAACGATCGATCGATCGCCACCTGCCACATGTGCAGTAAAAAACAGAAAAACACCATTTTTAATTTGCATGTGCAAAGACAAATTTCTTGTTTTTGTTTTACCGTTTTCATGATTTTGCAAAGGATAAGTTTTGCGACGATTGATGCAAAATCAAACGGTTGACAGCAAATCAATCACCCTTTCGAACCATATCTCCTAATTTATATGCTAAGCAGAAAAAGAAAAAGGATCAGAGCCAGAGAGCGCCGGCATCCTTCAGGATGGGCACGAGCTCGCCGGTGATGTGGACGGCGACGAGGCGATCGATCCCACCCAGCAGCCTGCCCCCCACGAACACCACCGGGAGCATATCTGGCCGCCGGAGATCTCCGCCGGCAACCTCGAACTCCGCCGCCTCCTCGCCCAGCTCGCACAGAGCGGGGTTGACTCCCAGCCCCTGCAGCAGCCGCCTCGCCACGTGGCACATGCAGCAACCCCTCCGCCCCACGACCACCACCGGGTTCTCCGCCACCATCCGCCGCATCCCCCTACCCTCCACGCCGCTGGAAGAAGAGGCCGAGGAGGAGGAGGAGGAGGAGGAGGACGACGACGACGTAGTAGTGGGAGACGTGTATGGGCCGTCCACTGCCGGCGGAGTGCGAAGTTTCACGGCCGCGCACGATCCTGTGGATCCGTACGGAACGGCGTCCGGCGTTATTTGGTTGTTTCCTCCCTTTCTCTCGTTTGGTCTGGTCGTCATTTTCGATATACAAGGAGAAACTGAGAGAGAGAGAGAGAGAGTACAGGGAGAGGACTGGGGACGGAAGGTTATATAGGAAAGATGGGCGCCCGGTTGACGTCATGAGAAGCGTCTTCTCACGTCACTGATAGCCGTAAGAAGCTTTCTTCGTATTCTTCTTCGCCGTCTCTGGCCCTTGTTCATCGACTCTTGCTTTTCTTTCGTGTGGTGTGAGTCGAAGTACGCCGAGACACGCATCTTCCGAACCTGTGGCTGACGTCGCGGCCGCGTCAGCCACGGCATCCGACGGGCCCTGCCGGGCTCTAGTGACGTCAGGCCTTAGGTGAACCGGCGCGGGATCTCCTATCTCTGCCGTCCAACAGCAAACACGCCTTCTGATGACGTGGCTTTGATGGCTTCTGTGCTCGGCCCGAGAGACGTTTCCTCTTCCTCGATCCCATCAGTGGGTTCAACAAAGAACGTAATACGTGACGCCACCAAACAGTCCACCGGTGGATCAAACTCCATCCACTGGTCATTCGGTGGAAGGATCGCAAGGAAGAATTAAAAGACATCGTGGACGAAGCCGGTCGAATGCACAAGGATCTGCGATGACCCACGTCGGCGTAAGTGGGCTCATGCAGCAGCGTCGAGCTCACGCTCTCGTCACGGCGGCGGGTATGAGAACGAGGACCCGTTTGCGTGCCGTCGTCCACGGACCACCCGTCCTACGGTGGAGATGTGTCATCCGACGGCTGGAAAGGCGTGCCGGCGAGGGCCAGCTCACGTTAGCGTCAATGTTGTCACGCGCTCGTCTACCGCATATGGCGGGCCGGTCGGTGTTGGGTTGTGGTTTGCTGACATCGCCGGTCATCATGGAATTGTCCCCAAACCCTCAGTTCAATATATAATTAGCTCGCATGATGGGATCGTCATAAATTTTGTTCGCGAAAGAGAGAAATTTGGGAGATATAAATAAAAGATGTACATGCATCGACATTGAACGGTGGATAAGCAAAGGATTCAGCGCCAATCGAGTGCAAATTATCGGGAAAGAAAATAAAAAATGACTGATGACTTATTATTATTGTGTTTTACGTGAAAAATAATATTTAAATAATAAAAAAAAATTCATAACCCAAACTCAATTGAATTAAATTTATCCCATTATATAATTTGGGTTATACTGAGTGTAATCCTAATATAACTATGGTAAATGAAGGGTAATGACATTTTCTCGACTTTCCTTTCTTATCATCGATTCCTGTTTAATTTTTCACTATTACTTTGAGTTCAAGCCTTGCACGTCGAAGAATAACTCGAGGAAGTATTATCGATAAATCAACCCAAAATTTTACATAAAAATTAAGATATGATTCTAAGTTGATTAATATCATTTTTTTTATTTTTTTTAAATACAATAATTAATTACTAAATATTATAAAATTTTAATCGGTGTTGTTATTAAAATAATTTAGTTTAATTTTAAATATAAATTGATTAATTTTCATTAAACCAATCCAAATTCAATTAAAGGGGTGGAGACATATATAAAATAGGAGAAGAAGAATCAAGATGGAAGAGAGAGAGAGAGAGAGAGAGGATAAAAAGATAGAGGGACAAGAGGAGGATGAGATAAGCAGAGAAGGTAGAGAAAAAAAAAAGACTATGAAAAAGGAGGATAAGACAAAGAAGGAGGTGAAGAATAATGATAAAGAGGAAACGAATGCGTCAAAGTAGAAGAAAGGAGAGTCAAAGAATAATGATAAAAAGAAAAGGAATGAATCAAAGTAGAAAGGGGAGTCAAAGAATAATAATAAAAACGAATGGAATGAATCAAAATAGAGGAAAGGAGAAGCCAAGACTAAGAATAAGAGACTAAAGAGAATGAAAATTGAGTTAGAGGCTTAAAATTTTTGATCCAAATCGGATCGGACTTGCTTAATGTGAAAGAAAATGACCATACATAATTTTATTTATTGGTTTTAATATAATTTGACATAAAAGGTCATGATAGGATCAAAGGAACTATTCCATAAAAGATTTATAGTATAATTTTTTTTCCGATAAAATGTCAAACAAATGTATATTGGAGCAGGAGAACGTCCCATCGTTTTATCTATTACCAATTGAAAAGAGAAAATCAAGTAGAAATTGACAATTTCATCGGAAAAAATATTTAGCATGTATTATATTTTAATTTTCCAACAATCCAAACCGTTTTGTTAGAACATGTAATTATAACATAAGTTTATCTCTAGGCGTTAGGATTATATGTTATCGTATATAATTAAGTTAATTATAAATTATATCATGTAGTTAGATCTCCTTAGTATACTGATTCTTAGACTAAAAAATTATATTAAAATTTTATATTTAATCTTATTTATCCTAACATCATCAATTTTACAGACGAAATATATAGATCGAGTCGAAATTACCTTTTTGTTTATCATTTTTGTATCATTTGTGTCACCGACAAGGTCGATCGTTACGTCATTCTCGTCGATTACCATTACAATAATCATCTATAATGTTATCATTCGCTACGATCGTTAAAAATATTTTTTTACTAATCATTTTCATGTCATTCATGCACATATTGTCATGTGATATATCTTTTGTACGTAAAACCAACGATATTATGATAAATGAAGTTAAATATTTTTATTTTTATAATTTAAGATTTAGAATATTAAATAGATTTAACTACCGAATGTAATATGTGATTAATCATATAAAAATTAGTTAATTAGTTGGTTTGTGTCTAGGAGTCTACTTATTGAAAGAGGGGGCGAGAGAGATAGGAATAACGGCTGAAGTATCCACCGTTAGGTTGCCGGTTACAAGTCATAAAGGTTTGTAACTATCTTCTCCCCTCTCTTCTCTCGTCTTCCTTTCTATGTTTTGTGCCTTGTGATTACGTATAGGTTAGAAATCTAACAAGTTATTGATTTCTTATTTAAAATGATATAACTACTTATTTATCAGATAATTAAGAACTCAAGAATTTTATTTTAGATTTCAAAATAAATTATTTTTAAATTATTCTGAAAATAAAAAAAGTTATCCTCCCACAAGTATTATTATTTATTTTGGAAGGGAAATGTTATTTTCTTTTACAGTAATCCAATTAAATTATTTTTATTGATCGTAGAAAAGTTCCTTGCCATTTAAGGAAGACAAAATAAAGACGTAGAACCTTCATCACCTTCATAAACCCCGTGCGCCCGCGACCGCGCCTTCCCCTGGAAATCCGGACGGCAAGATGCCGGCGTCTTCTGGCTCTCGACCGCAGAGCTCCACCGCCGCCAGGATCTCCGCTACCGCAGCCACCCTCTCATCCGACAATCAACACGTCATTGCTGTAAGATCCCCTCTCCTTCCCCCCAAATTCAGAAACCCTAAAAACCCTGATGCCCAATCTCCGCCCTTGAAAGGGTAATTTCTGAAGCGCATTCCTTGTTTTATTCTCCTCCTCCTCCTCATGTTGTAGGAGATCCGCAAAGCCCTATCCATGATGAGGAGCATCGCGGTGGACCTCGAGAAGCAGGAGCAGTCCGACAAGGTTAAGATTTGTTATTTCTTGGCTAAAAAGAGAAGGCCCTAGGTTTTATTTGAGCGCCGATGCAGGTTAAGGAATTGGAAGCTGCCGTCTTGGAGCTTTTGGATACGTACGATGACTGTACCCATTTCTCAGAGGCGATCCAAACCATTGGTAGCAACTACCAGCCATCTGAGCAGGCAATTTCTTTTACTCCTTTTCTTTTCATGCTTCCGTACTATCTGAATGAGTTAGAAAATCTTATGTTCTGATCACGCTATTGTGATTTTTGGTTTAACGATACGCAGCTGACTGATTTCAACAAGTTATTAGAGGATGAGATTGCTAAAAGCAAAGCAGTGTCTCCTTCTGTCCCACAAAACAATCCATTTTATCGGCAATTCAAGGAAGCCATCTGGGTACGTTTCTTGATTCATGGTTCAGATTTTTGTTAACTATATTCAAAATTTTCTGGGTGTACTGGTGCTTATCGCTGTTTAAACCTATCTCTCCATGCTTAGATTTTGTTGGACTTACAGGTTGCTCGAAGTTTTCTCTACTTTGATTGGTAATTTAGGATGTTCAGCGGCACGCAGAGAGATGTGACTTTGGCTTTCTTTGATGATCAAGACTGACGGAACAAAAATCCTAAAATTGGCACAGAATTATTTAGGCCGTATTGAGAATAGTGATAATAAAATAATATATTCTTTTATTATGCACATTAATTGGAAATGGACATTGTGGCTTGTGTTAATTAAGGAGCAAAAGAAGAGGAAACTTTTGCATGAGATAATTGTGATGACATTTAACTTTATGAAACGGTGGAAGCTATTCATAATACAAGACTATTTGTCCAAACGAACATTTTCTAACTGAGAAATGGTGCTGAAAAAGGTTAGAAGGTGAGGCAAAGGTTTATAATCTGAGTTTGGATGGTGAAAGATGGGGATGGAATTTTAGATGGCCTGATGTCTGGACTGTATGCTATGGTGAAGGTGTTGGATGTTGTAGAGTTTGTAATGATGAAAAGCATCACACTTTGTACTAGCATATGATTAGCTCGGTGCATACCTTCTCCATGCTCCATGTTGGCATCATGCCTCCATTATTGTGTCAGTTGCTCCAAATAAAGGAGAAAACCAAACCAAAACAAACAAAATGTGAATAAAGAAAGGGGTATACGATGCTATTTTAATTTGTTTACCTTTAATGGTAGAAATGTAATGGTGCTTATAAAAAAATAAACACGATGAACGGTTATAGCATAATGAGGGATGGTGGTCTTATCATACATTTGAGGAGCTAGTGATTTAAGAGGAGTGCTCTGCGTTTTCATATTCTTTATTTGAAATCCTGTTTTGTGATGTTAGAAGATTAATGTGGAAGGGAAGAAGATTCAGGGAGAAGATTGTTGCCCTAAAGGGTTATGATAGGAGGCTCTGGCCCTATCTTTTTATTTGGATTCATAATTTCATCATCTTATAATCATTTAATCAATGACCTAAACATGAGGAAAATTATTTATTTATTATAGATTGAATGATTGTTATGTTTCTATATTAATGTCTTATTATGGAATGGCACATTTTATGAATTTGATCTTTAATATATGAAAATAAGGATATCATGATGGATGAAATCATTGTTTCTTATGTTGTCTATCAATTGAAACCAACAAAAAGATAGTCATCATTTCATTTTACGTGGCTTCACCTAAGCCAGTTCTTTTCCTCTCAATTTGGCTACCAAATAGGTAGCCTATAACCACCCCTTCTTTTTCAAATGAGCCCTCAAGTGGGCAGCCCACAGCCATTCATTCTCTCCTCTAATGGGCTCTCAAACGGGCAAAACCACATCACATATTCTTTCCTTAAGAATGGACAGCCTTTAATTTTTTCTCATATGGGAAATTCTTAGCACCCTCGTCTCCGTATACGGCTTGCCCACAAACCCAGCTATCCAACTCACTTGGGTAGCCCACAAGCTCGACCTTCCCATCTCTACGTGATTGGCCCATAGGTTGGCCCTTCTTCACTCGGCCCCATAGAACAATCCCCAAACCGAGTGGTTAACCCTTCATCATTAATTATTATATCATTTAAGGACTTTGATTATCAACAGGAAGACAGCGTTGTTAGACAATTCACTAGTAGATGATTTGCTTTAGGGATTAGGAGATCGTTAGATGTGACAACTAGACGACCTCCTTATTGGGAGTGATAAATCTTTATCGTGGCATGTGAGAGACATCAATCCTCATCAAAGTGCAATATGAATCCTCTCTATTTGTTTTTTTGGGTGCTATACATCTTGAGAATTTGGGTATTTGGTTGAGCCATTAATGATTGTTTGGTGTGTTTATGTGAATGCTATGCAATATGTTGTGTATGTAGATGTTGTATATTTTTGCCTATTTTGTTTCCTTCGAATTGCTAAATTATTTACTATGTATTGCCAACTTAAATAATTTCCTTTGAATCAATGTTTGCGTTATCGGTTCGAACCAATGTATCGGTCGATTAGTAGTATGATGCATATTGCTCCGTACTGACATATTGTGTGTCGGTATGGCGGGGCGCATCGACGACATGGAAAAAAAGCTGAAAACAACTTTAATTTTTTTTTTGAAAAATAAAAAAAGTTAGATTAGAGTTTTTAAGTTGGAAATAAATATAATTTAGTATAATTTTAGCAAAAATAATGTAAATTAGGAAAGAATAGTGACATCTTTTTCGGGCCTTGAGGAGTAGCTTTGTGGTACGTCTCGGATCGTCCTTCCATTAATATTGAATTATTTATGTATTGTCGCTCTATGCACCACTCTTAAACCGTGTAGATGGGACCATCGACTCCTCGACATCGTCATCATCATCGTCTATCAAGGCATCGCTAAACGGATGATTTTGGAAGCTACTGATGATGTTGTGACTTGGGCACAATTTCAAGTTGCATTTTATGGGCAATATTTTCCATCTCATGTGCGTCTTCACAAGCAGCAAGAATTCATCAATATTCAATTGGGTAGCAAGTCTGTGTTAGAATATAGAAATTATTTTGAGTAGCTGTTTTATCTTTTAATGCCCATGATAGCCAATGAAGAACGGAAGGCTAAGCACTTTGAAAGGGGTCTACGGCCACTTATTCGAGAATGAGTGGCCATCTTTGAGTTATTGACTTATGCAGAAGTGGTAAACAAAGCTCTCATTGTTGAGATGGTACTTGACGAGCATAATAAAAGAAAGGATTTGAGGCACAACTTCTCGTCTACGCCATTGCAAGGACGAAGTTTTAACGTTGATGGTATGAGACTTTCAAAGGCTCAATATCATTCACCGCAACCTTATCAACAACAAGAAAACATGAGTGCTTCCAGACATGTGGCAGTGAGGTGGCATAACTGTGGAAAAATGGACCATGTTTCCTTGAGTTTCCCAACAATACGAATGTGTTTTCATTGTCAACAACCTCGTCACATACTAAAGGTTTGTTCGTTGAGGTCTCCACATCAACAACAATGTGGGGGATGACTAGGAAAACAAGCTCGGGATTTTACTCTGACTTATCGGAATGCTCAGGCCTCAGAATGGGTACTTAAGTTATAATTGTCCTTTGCTATGTGCCACTTGATATATTGATGGATTTGAGTTTCACACATTCTTTTATTTCACCATAGTTTACATTTGAGTTGAACAAAGATCATGTGCCCATAGATTATCTCTTATCAGTAGAAACATTGATTAGATAGTTCATCCTAACAAACCAATGATGTATTTCATAATTTGAGGAGTATTTTGATGTATTCCTAGTGACTTGCCAAGATTACTCTTTAATAGGCAGATATAATTTTTTATAGTGCTACAATTGTGTATAACACCTATCGACAAGCTAATATATACAACAACACAACACCTATCTACAGCCAAGCACTCGCTGGAGCTTGCTTAGGAGTGGTGAGCAAACCTGGCACAATGAGCCAAACCCAAGTTGGTCCTGAGCTAGATTCGTGCTCGTGCTTGGACAATTAGCTTAGCTCGAGTCATACCCTAGCTAGACCCATAACTGAATCAAGCAAAGCTCAACCCAGTTTGCATTAAGCCCAACTGTAGATCAATTGATCAATCAGAGCTAAGCCAAAGCCAAGCTCGAATCGCATCTTTGTTCGGCTCAACCACCTATGGAATAGTGAAATATGACCCTCGCCCCACCCCGCCTTCTTGCACTTAAAGACTCTTACCTTAATCTCCTTTGATTATCGTTTCTCTTTTATATTCCGTCGATGCCTATTTGCAACCTAACTAATTTCCTTGATCAACGTGCCGCTCTCTATTTCTTTCACATGATGTTGCTCTCCACTCTTTCCCTTACCATTCCTATGTTGCCCTTTTGTTTCGTTGTCTGGTACTTTCTCTTCTGTCGCCAACTCCCATTTCCATATCTGTCAATCTCCTCGTCTCGTTGTTGTTGGTTCTCCATTGTCGAGTCTCCACCACCCTCTCGATCTCCTTTGTTGCCACTCTCTACCTCCTTCGTTGTCTCCCTCTCCATCACCTTGTTTCTTTGTTGCTTCATCATCAATTCTTCGTTGTCTTGGCTATTGACTCTTCACCATTGCAGACACGCCATAATACCTCTACCTATTTCTTGTTTCTGTAGTTAGTCCTTTTCTTGCATTTTTATAAGTTGACCATTTAATATTATTAAGTGCATGAAGGGAGAAACTTATGTAGCTAATTCATAAATTGGAGAGCATAGACTTATATTAGTGGTAAAGTTTCTCATTTACCCAAAAGAAAACAATTATACAAGAAAAGACATCATGAATCCGAAAAAATGATTAATGATTATTAAGTACATAAAGATAGATGTGCCATTTTGCCTTGATAAATGTGTGCTTTTACAAATGATTAAACTTATGTGATTTGAGGTTTTAGTGGTAATATTTTGCATATGTAATGATATGAAACTCACGAATTATTTAGTTTTTATTCTAAATATTATCTTTATCCTTAATTATATATTTTTCTTTTTTATTTGTGAGCGCTTAGATTCGCTCGAGTGAGCGCTTGGGTTAGGCCAGGTGCCTTTTAGTGATGAGTGCCTTTGACAATACTACTTAAGAGAGATTGAACAATGAATATGATATAAAGAGCGTTTATTTTAATTTGTACGTGAGGGTCGTGAAGTGTCTTCATCTTCATTCGGGAGTAGTTCCTTAGCAAGCCTCTCATTATGGCCATTGTTTATTCTCTCTTTGGTACCATTGGTCATAACCTGACCTGATAAGATAATGTCTCATTAACTTTAACTTGATAAATCTAGACCAGTGATTCAAAATACTTAAGCCCAAATTAATGATAATCCACTCATCAAGTCCTTATAAATCAATAAAATTCTTTTCTTACTTTCGATGTAGGACTAAGCTGGGGCATGTTCCTCAATTTCTTTTTTATGCTTGTTTATGTTGGCTTTCTTCTTTCACCACATCTTAAGAGATTTTTTTGGGTCTTGTTTTAATACATAAAACTTTTGTGAGAATATGAAGCATGGATTGTTCAAATTGGCTGTGTCCATAATACCTTATTCTTGTATCCGATACTTTTTGGATATGTGCTCATTTCCTAATTGTCATTGTTGTTTTAGATATTATTCAATCGTAGTTTTACAGGTTTGTCATATTTGCTGCATCATGCAATTTGTACTGCCTTCTGTAGACCTGGTTTTATTCAAACTTATTGATTCATATGGTCTTTTGTTTCATCTTTGTTTTTCATATATCATTGATTTGAAGACTGTATATACTTTGGTTAAGCGGTTCATATCTTTTATCAGTTGTTTCTTTACTATAACTCATTTGATTTTTTTATTAATATACTTGTAAATGGTGAAATAATTAACATATCTTATGCAGCTAATTAATGTATACTCCTCTTTTCTTGCATCTTCTTTGTACTGCACTTCAGGCACTATGGTGCTCTTACCAGGTAGTCTTACCTATAATAATCATCTGAGGGTAGACATAACCAAGAAACAACTAGATTTTGCTGCTGTTGTAGTCTAAATTTTTTTTTGTGTATTCTGTTGGTAACTTTTAGTATTTCTAGTGCCAGCTAAGATAGCTTCATTATTTTCTACAGAATGTTCATCATGCAGGTCAACCAATGCCTGGTGAGGAGCAGGAAGACATTATTATGACCAGTACCCAGAACAACCTACTAAATATCACATGCCCATTAACAGGAAAGCCTCTTACAGAATTGCAAGATCCAGTTCGCTGGTAAGTTATTTCACTATTTCTACAACTTGCAGTTTTGAAATTTTTATAGTGGAAAATTTGTGCGTCGTATAACTACAATTGTAATAGTTATTAATTGGTAAATGAAAATAAAAAAGTTAACTGTACAATTAAGTGGAAAATTTCGCTGGTGCTTTTGTGATGCATGAGCAACAGGAGTCAGATGTATTGTGTAGGAGGGATGATCAAAAGCTCAAAAGATAAGATATGTGGAACATTGTTCATTCCAAGGACTGTTGTAGCATGTACCGGACCCATTCCAGTTGCTGGTTGTGTACTGGTGCACCAACATGATACATCAGCATGTACCACCCTTTTGAAGATGAAGAAGGAGAAGAGAAGGCACAATGGAGGAAGAGGAAGGAGGAAGATGAAGGAAGAAGAGGCAGCAGAGGAGGAAAAATTAGGAAGAGGAAGAAGGGGAGATGGTGGAGGAAGAGGTAGAAGAAGAAAGAAGAGGAAGCCGTGGAGGTGGAGAAGGAAGAAGAGGAGGGAGTGTACCAGGGAAAAAGACAGCGAATTGTAGTGGCGATGGCAGCGGCATTGTTAGAAGAGGGTTTCCACAAGAAAGGGCTCTTATTTGCGAGTCCTTACCACTGTTTTAATTTTTTTTCTTTTAAAACTGAGTTGGGCCGGGCCGCTCGAAATGGAGCAGTCCACATACCAGTCTACTCATGGACTGGTACATATCACCCGTTTCATACCATTTTGGGTGGTTCGGCAGTCCTGGGTCATGTAGCACGATTAGGTACTTGCTGAAGAAGGGTCACCTGTCCGTTGATTTAGAGGAGGAAATAGAGTAAAACATAAGCGGACAACAAAATATAGCATTACAAATAAGAACAAGCTGCAGTCGTAGTATATGTAGTTGACATTAAATTTGATCAAGAATTGACTCTCAATTTGCAGATAGACAAGCCTCACATCATGTGTTTAAATATGAAATCAATGTCATTTTGTGTCTGGCCTAAAACTTCAAGTTCAAGGAGTTTTTCACACTAATCTGACATGGCAAGTTGAGTCTGAGGACTCTTTTGATACCTACTGTTAGTATATCTATATCTCATGCATGTTTCATACATGTGAATTTCTTGGTGACGTGGTTTGAAAAACTGATACTGCATGTCGTTTCCTGGGCTTTCCTCTACCAGCACGTGATACATGGTTTGCCATGTGGAAATTCAAAAATTGTGTGTGCTTCCCGATAATGAATTTCATATATGTAGTAGGATATTCTTTTGTATGCATGAGTTAGATAGATAGGAGACAGGACCCTTACAAGACTTGATTAACAGCAAGACACTGTCCTTTCTCTCTCGCTGATCATTGTTTCAGTGGATGCAACTGTCACTGTATATTTGATCTTAGTAATGGACACAAGCCCACAACCTAAATAGCACTTGAAAAATATTTATGTTGTGTTATTCTAAGAATTATTATGTAAAGTGAGTAGGTTCAATGGAATGAGAAAAATTCAGGATGCTTTCTTCCCTTCATTTTGTGAAGCTAGCATCAAGTGTAAGGTTTGTAAAAACTGGTGTGAGACCGGTTTCTACAGAGTGATTTGTAGGGGTATCAAATGTGTGCTTGTAACTATCATCCTATCCTTTGTATGTCTAATTAGCCTCTGCTGTAATTTTATTGTTGATAAGGTCGTGTATGTTTCTATATGTATTTTTGTTACTGGATATCTTCTGCTAAATATGATTAAAATCCAAACAATATTAAACAAGGGCTAAGCCTTGACAAAACCTAAATCTATCCTGTTCCACAAATCATAGTTGAAATCCTGACTCTCCAGTCCAACAACACAGCCTAACCGGATACACCTAGGACATGAATAAAGCCTTGGCATGTTTCTGTTATTGCTTAAACAACAATTTATGACTGATCTTCTCTCGGCACCAGAAACATCAGCCTAAGAATCTTGATCAAGGTTTAACCTTTAGGCTGATACATTAACTTGATTAATTACTAATCATGGTATTGCAATTAAGACAATTATACCTTCTGAATGCTGCCTTCAGGCATCGTATGTGAGGATCATTTAAAAATTCAAATACTGCAACTTTTACAAAATTTCGACAACCTTGTTAATCCTTTCATGCTTCATTCGAGACAATTTTCCAATTTCAGTCCATATATATTAAATCTGAATGACTCTATGAATATTTATTACCAAAACTAAATTCCTGCAAATTCTTGGTTCATACTAAACTTCAGAAACCTTAGTTTTCTTCAAATCTTCCTTTTTGCCCCATGTCAATTTGGTAATCCAACTAAATGTGAAGTCTATTTTTGGAGCAATTGAGTTTCATGAATATTTTCACTTCTGGGGATGAGTGTCCATATGATAAAGCCCTCGTCCATCACCCAGAAATATGTTAGCAGTATGAACAACAGTGTATTACTTTTGTGCTTCCTATATTTCTGTTAAGTTTTTTAGTACAGGTGATAGATATAGTTCTTTCAGATTGAAAGAATATGTTCCTTGACTTGATTCTTTCCATTGCTTCACCTAGAGGTTGACTGAGCTTGATCATTACTCTAGAACTATTAAAGACAAAGCAATATTTAAAGATTTGGGTGCACTTTAATCTTCTCTTTTTAATTTGTTTGTGTGACTTGTTATTCATGGTGCAGTATGGACTGTAAACACATTTATGAGAAGGACCCCATAATGCACTACATGAGAACAAAGAAGCCGCATCCTCAATGCCCAGTTGCAGGTAAGTTACCTCATCTGTCATTTTATTTTACATGTTCACCAAGTTGCTCACTAAATTTTGTTTTCTCAGGCTGCCCCAGAATTCTCCAGTTAGGACGGGTTGTATGTGACGCGTTGCTTCCTATCGAAATCGATGAAATGCGCTCAGTTAAAGGTGTAGCTGATGCTACCGCTGTAGAGGATTTCACTGAAGTCGATGACGACTGAAGAAGCCACTGAAAGCGCATGGCTATGAAATAGTGCAACATGGTTTCATGCAGCTCCAAGCTCTACACACTGTACGTTCTCTCTGTCTCTCTATGTAGAAGACCTGTTTGCGAGAACTTGTGCATGACTAACACCAAAACAACAAGAAGTCGTGTGCAGGACTGAGCTGCTTATCGACCCATCTGATCTTTCTCAGTTCTGGTGGGCCAATCAATGGAACTTCCTGGCCATACAAGAAGGCACCTTCTTGTATGGTAAAGATGGCAACTGAACAAGAGCCAGATCGATCTTCAAATCGCTCAACTACAAACAGTATGTTAATTGGTGGTCTTTTAACTGCAGAAAACTTGATTTAAAATTGATGTCAAATTGGTTGGATTCAATGAAGCTCGGCTTCAGCAAACTCTATATTTTGATTAAGTTGGAATAGAGTCGACTCCATTGATTTTAGTGAAATGAATATATTCATAGCACATTGGAATAGAGTCGACCATAGTTTGAAATGGAATCGAATCGTTCAATACGAGTTGACCATTAGTGAAATGAATATATATTCATAGCACATTGGAATATACTCGACCATAGTTTGAAATGGAATCGTATTGGTCAATAACTAAAAATGAATTGGGTCAACGGTTCGACGTTGTTGATCGAACTGAACCGGAATCGGGTTCTCGTGGTTTGGTTTCGGTTCTTATAAGTTGGAATGGTGTCATGGCTTCACTGAAAACGGGTGAAGTTTAAGCCGTTGCTGCGTATGACAAAGCATGTCATTCAATCCGTAAGAATATTCCCGCGTTCCTGTTTCGTCAGAGCATCTGTTTGCAGGAGGAAGAAGTCTCAGACAACCCAAAGTTCGAATCATCAAACCATCATCACCAAGCAAAAGATAGGAAGCAATCATTAGTTCTCAAACATAATCGCGAGTTAGAAATCTGATGCAGGACAAAGCCTACATCATGACGAAGGCAAAGATGAAGTAACTTTGGTCGTCAAACTCACCACCCATTGCCGTTTTGCTCTTCTTTCGACATGGTTACAGCCATTTCAGGGAAAAGCTGAACAACTTTATTGGTTGAAGAAGAAGCTATCTGTTATTTGATCCATACGGTCATCGTTTTCTACGTCGAGGGTTAAATGCGATCACGTAAATTGCAGTGTAGGAGTCCATATATGTTAATTATTCACAGGTAATCATTGGGAGATCGATGATACTCTTCAACTGTTCAAGAAAGAAAGGAGGCACCTCCTGTATGCATGGCAAAATTAGGCAGCAGATGAGGGGAGCTGACTCGGTTTTGCCCGCCTTGGTTGTACCCGATGAGCGACGGAGCGTAGTAGTCGCCGACGGCACTTCCTTCCCCGAGGACGACGACGGCGGCGGCGGTGGCGGCGCCATCGTCATCGTCGTCATCCACAGCAGCCTTGACATTTCTCCCATACGAGTCCTTCGCTCCCGAGCCGCACTGCCTGGGCTGCGTCTGGTAGAAGACCTTCGACACCACCAGCTCCCCGTCCTTCTCCTCCTCGTCGGAGCCCAGGTGATACTGGTGCATTATCCAGCTGGTCTTCTCGGGCTTCCGCTGCTTGCCGTAGTTGGTGTACAGGACGAGGATCTTCTTGTACCCCTTGAGCTTCCCACCCACCGACACCGGCCTCGTCTTCCCGGTCTTGTGCCACCGCGTCTCGCCTCCGCGTGCGTCGGTGTGCACCTTTCGCCTCTTCCTCGTCCCCGTCGTGTATGCCTTGGAAGGGCGATGGAAGAAGTGCCGAACCAGACCATCCTGTCTCACTCCTGTGCATCGCAAGAAGAAACACACCATTAAAATCACATACGAAACGCAATAAATCCCACCAATTATCTCAAAGGTGAGGAGGAGTTGAAGCCAAGGCAAGGTCTACATAGCTTTCCCAATGGGCCTCACTCTATACAACCTAATTTATTGCTTGTTATTATTGTTAGGTCACAACAAGTAATTAAATAGTGACAAAAGTTCTTCCAATCTTCACGTCATCAGAAAACCAGGTTGGTTTTGCATTAAATCCGATCCGAACATTTTATGCCACTATATATCGGAACTTGTGATTCCAAAAATCATCTCAAATGAGTAAGAGGCAAAGAGAGAGAGAGAGAGAGAGAGAGAGAGAGAGAGAGAGCGAGAGAGAGAGAGATGAATCGGAACATGTTCATTGGCTCACTCATAAATAAAGAGATGGTGTCAATCGATCGATCATTACTGGGGAGCTTCTCAGGATGCGTGTAGCAAATCCCATCGTCGCCTTCGATGGTGGGGATGAACTCGTCGATGAGAGGGTGAAGCTTGTGAGGGTCCGACCCCGTTTTGCCTTCCAAGTGTTCCAGCAGCTCTTGGTCGGTGGGATCAAACTTCACGCCTGCGGGCAGCCCGGGCAAGTCTTGTATGGAGGAAGACGCCTGGATTCAATCCACAGACGGACGTGTATTAGTCTCCCTCTCAAAAGAGGTTTCATACGGAAAGCGTGAACAGGTTTGGCTTTTGCCTGCCGCAGGCATCCAAGAAGAAGATGCTACGTCGCAACCTTATCAGCTTCGAGATGAAATGATTTTGTTGTGTGTAGAAACTGCACAAGAAGAGAGAGAGAGAGAGAGAGAGAGAGAGAGAGAGAGACCTGCTGCTGCTCATACTGAATGCGATGACCGCAGGAAGGGCACGTCTTGATCATGATGTCGTGTGATTTCTTGGTGATTAGAACCATCGGAGAGCCCGGATTGATGCCGGCCAGCAGCTACCGCACCATGTCATGTGTCATCTTCTTCCTCTTCGTCTTCTCCTCCTTGTCTCTTGTTCGGAGCAGGCAAAAGACTGGGAAGGGAATGACGACCGAAGAAGGCAAACAAGAGGACAGAAAAGGCGAGAAAGGAAAAGAAGAAAGAAGCTTGTCCCTCTTAAAGCTACGGAGCTCTCCTCCTCCCTCCCACAGTTTTCCCCTTGATATCCGGGAAGGAATAGAATTCTCCTCAACTTTGGTTCATCATCTTCCTCCAGGGACAAGTGCAGCAAAACTCCGATGGTCCCTCCCGCTTCCTCAAGACAACAAACCGCGCACAAAGGGAAAAGGAAAAAGACAAAAACAAGGCCATATGTAGAGAAGAGTAGAGAAGAGAGGAGGGAGACCTCCGCAAGTAACACCAGGTTGCTTGACCCTCAAGCTTGCCCTTGCTATATACATCACCGATATAACTCAACCTTGTGACCAAACATACATACCTAATGTTATTACTCGAGCGATTCTATGGAAATCTCTCCATAATCCTTTTGGCAAAGGAGCAACCGGGTTGAGTGGGGATCCAGCAACCTGATTCGTATGAGACGTCTCACCTCCTTGAATGAGATGGTTAGATAGAGAGGAGGAGGAGTAGTAGACGGTGGCCTCCTTTTAGCTCCGAGGTCGCCCTAGAGTGTCTTCCAAGACATACCTATCATTTCTCCATTTCCGACCCTCTCTCTCTCTCTCTCTCTCTCTCTGCATATGTCATGTGTGTCTCAGTGTGACCTCCATATATGTGTTTTCTCATTGTTTATGTGACGCATGGAATCGGAAAGAATGTGGCATGGTGAATCCCAGAGATGCAGGGGAGGGTTGTAAAAGACACGTGAACGATGGGTAGGTCATGCTGTCTTCGACATGTACGCGACTTGGCTTGCAGAGAAAGGCGTCCGCTTGTGTTTGGTTTGGTAGTCCTCCAAAAATAGGAGATGTAGAAGATGCCGACTCCCCTTTCGAGGGATGACGACCTTCTTGAAGAAAGAGGCACGTAAAATGGATTCTTTTTTCCTTAAGTAATATAGTGCTGTAATTAAATTTGTTTAGGTATTAAGAGGTTCTTTGAGAAATAGATTAAATAATTATAAAAGGATAAATCAAATTGATTATTATTTTTGAAAGAATTTCTTACAAAAGAATGATTCATTTTAAATGTAATTAATGTACCGTACAAATCTCGGTTTTGAAATATAGAGTTTTTGAAGTTGTAGAAACTTTTGAAAAAAAACAAAGAAGATTTAACTTTGTCGTACTCTTCCGTTGTGTGATAAACTTATCTTTTCTCTTTATCTATTTTCAACATTTGGTATTATAGCTTGCTCGTGTTAAACTATGACTTCTTCTCCAAGCAACATCCAACTCCAAATCCTTAGATTGACCAAAAAAATTATGATATATAGTGTATTTAAATAAAGGTCTTTCTAAACTCCCAAGATGTATGAGAGTTTGTAGAAAATGGATTTATTGAATTAAGTCCAATATAAGAAGGAGCAATGAATGCAGAAGCAAAAAAATAACTCAAAGATAGAAGAAAAAAGAAAAAAAAAAGTTTTGTTCACGATCTACCAAGAGCTTGATGATGCAATATTTAAGATCATCGCTTCAGCAAATACCTCAAAAGAGACTTGGAAAATGCTACAAAAAGTATTTGGTGGTGTGAATAAGGTAAAAAAGCTTTGTCTATAAGTTTTATGAGCTAAGCTTGAAAAACTATGGCAAGGTACTAAACCTATTTATGATTACTTCTCAAAAAATCATTTCTATTATTTATCAAATGAGTTAAAATGATGAACAAATATGTAATCAAATAATAATAAAAAAATACTAAGATCTCTAGATCTAAAGATTTGGAACAAATGTCTTTAAAATAACTAATGAATTCTCTTCAAGTTCATGAACAAAGGCTTATAAAAAGAGAAGAAGAAAAATCTATAGAATAAGCATTACAAACTAAGCATACTCTTGAAAATAAAGATGAATCAAAATCTCAAAAAGGAAGACGTGACGGAAATTAGATCAACCAAGAATTTTAAAACAATTAAGGTAATGGAGAAAATTTTAACCAAAGAAACCGAGGTTATGGTTGAGGACATGGCCGAGACCATAGTAGAAATTCTAAAATATAAGAAATGCAATGCTATGTTTGCAAAATGTATGGAGACTACTCCTTTCAATGTTATTATAATCCTAAAAATTAAGGTGATAAGGTAAATTTTATTTAAAAAAATAAAAATTAAGTCATACTAATTATTTATAATAATTTAAAGAAAGATTAGTCTATGACATGGTATCTAGATAGAGCTTCAAATCACATATGTGACATCAAAAAATTATTTTTGAAAATAGATACAAGTTATTTCAAAAATATTATATTTGGTGATTTATCTCAAAGACCAGTAGGAGGTAAAGGTAATTTTTTTTTGGACTCATTAATGGCAAAGAATTATGCATTTCAAATGTTTATAATATTTTTGATATGAAAAATAATATTATGAGCTTGGGGCAATTACTTAAAAAAGGTTATGATATTGATATGAAAGGTGTAACTCTTTCAATTTGTGATAAGAATAAAACATTAATCTCACATGTGAAAATAATGAAGAATAAAATATTTCATCTACATCTATGCATTTTTAATCGGTCAAATTATTTTAAAACTGATATTAAGAAAATTTCAACATTATGACATCTTAGATATGCTCATTTAAATTTTAAGGCTTTAAAACTTCTAGAGAAATTTAATATGGTGACACGAATATAAAAATTGATCATTCATCAAAGTTATGTAAAGTATATATCTTAGACAAGCAAAAAAGAAAGTCTTTCAAATTAAGAAGAACAAAAAGAGTATGGCATTGATTTGATCTGGTGCACTCAGATGTTTGTGGCCCTATCAGTCCAAAGGAAGTAGATATTATTTTATCTTCAGTAATATGGTTATAAGATTAAATGTGTAAGAATAGATAGGAGTGGTGAATACATATCAAATAAAAAGTTCTTTTAGTAATAATATAATTTTAAGTTCAGTAGTTACAAACTCTACAATCCTATCACAAACAAAGTTATAATGTCAAGATATGTTGAGTTTAATGAACAACATATTTGAAGTTAAAAAAGTGATTTGTAAAGCTATAGCTTCAAAAAAAGATGATATAATACAAGCAAATACCGAAGAGTCTTTGCTTGAATCATCACCTAGATCGGCCATGTCACATAATTCAAGAAGTTCGCTTCTAAGAAGGACAAGAATGATTTATGAGCTATATAATGTGAACTGAATGGTTGATACTGATAATAATGAGCTTTTTTTTATTTTATCTTTTTATAAGATATGATCCATTAATCTTTGAAGAAGCTTATAAAGAAGAAAAATGATGACAAACTATGAATGAAGAGATTCGTACTATTAATAAAAATGATACATAGGAGCTTACTATACTTCTAGAAGACCACCAAGTGATCGATGTTAAGTGACCTTCAAAATAAAAAGAAATACACAATGCGAGATGAAAAAATACAAGGCACGATTTGTTACAAAAGGATACAAATAACAATATAAAATCGACTATAAAGAAGTATTCATACTAGTTACTCAAGTTTAAGACATTTATTTTCTTAACAGCTCAAATAAAATATTTTTTATAAATTAATATCAAATCAATATTTCTTAATGAAGTTCTTGAAGAAGAGGTATATATTCGACAACCCCATGATTTTTTTATTTATGAATAAGAAGACAAAGTATATAAGTTAAAGGGAGCTCTTTATAGGCTTAAATAAGCCTTATAAGTATGAAATTCTCAGAGATACTCATTTTATTCAAAATAACTTTTTTAAATATCCATGTGAGCATGCTCTCTATATGAAATTTAACTTTGATAGAGATATCTTATTTATATGCATGTATATAGATTTAATTTTTACAAACAATAATATCTCCATGATTAAATATTTTAAATACTCTATGAAAAAAGAGTTTGAGATAACTGACTTGAGCCTAATGACTTATTTTCTCAGTATTGAAGTTATACAAGACAATATAGGATTTTTTATCTTACAAGAAAATTATACAAATGATATTCTAAAGAAGTTTTGTATGAAAGATTGTTATACTATAAATACACCAGTGGAATATGGCACCAAGTTAACTAAGAAAGACAAAAGTAAATACATTAATCCAACTTGTTATAAAAGTCTAATTAAAATTTTAAAATATTTAATATGCACTCAACGTGAGATATCATTTGGAGTTAGTTTAATAAGTATATACATGGAAGCTCCTAAGACATCTCATTTAAGTGTCACTAAAAGATTTTTACGATGTATTAGAGTGATAATTGAATATGAAATGTTCTATTCGTTATCTAAAAGGTTAGAGTACATTAGATATAGTGATAGTGATTGAGCTGAAAGCTACTATGATCAGAAGAGTACAATTAGATTTGTATTTTATTTTAGTAAAACTACATTTATGTCTTCAAAAAATAATATATCATTACTTTATCAAGTTGTGAAGCAATATGGCTAAAAAGACTATTCAAAGGACTTTATATGTCGTAAGAGAAATCAACTAAGATTTATGTTGATAAGAAATCAGCTATTGTCTTAGCTAAAACTTCAATCTACCATAAAAAATCAAAGCATATCGACATAAGATTTCATTTTATAAGAAATAATATTAAAAATAAAATAATAGACCTACTTATGTCAAGACAAGTAAATAAATGACCGATATACTCACAAAGCCTTTTAAATTTAAAATATTTCAATAACTTCGAAAGAAACATGAGATGTTAGATAAAATAAGTTTAAGGGGGAAGAATGTTGAAATTAAATTTGTTAAGGTATCATAAAGAGGTTCTTTTTATCAAAAGGAGAAATAAATTAAATACCAAGAAAAGGATAAACCAATTATTGATTCTTGAAAGGGTTTCGTAGAAAAGAGTGATTTATTTTAAATATAATTAATATAATGTATCTATGTGGACTATATAAAGCCGATATGTTGGATCATGAAATATTTAATCTTGTTCTACTTTTTAGATCTATCCCTTCTCCTTTTTCTTTTTCTTTTTTTCAACATACAAAGGAGGACAGTTATATGCTTGTCGTCCTCAAACAACACCTAATACAGAATTCAAGATTGTTCGTAGTCTCGATGGGAGGCGATACCTGTTTGATCTCGCATTGGGCGTCCATTCATGTGGTGATTGGCCGAGCAAACGAATCCCATTTTGGGAGTTCTTGACTCCGCTAATTTAATCTAATCGCAACGAGGGGAGCTTTGGCAAATACACTGTTTTTGTCTCGTCCCCTTTATGGATCCTTTGAACAGGACTTGATGCCATCTACAAAAATGTGGGCCGGCCTAACTAAGGCCCGTTCGTAGAATGGTCAGCCCCGACACATTTACCCATCTCACCATATGAATGAAATCTATTCATCCAATTAGGTTTTTCTTTTAGAATTCTAATTTAATTTTCAGATAGAATCTTAATTCCTCTGCTGAATCAATTTAATCCCATTCATCTATCATAAATTAAATTATATGATGCATCATTTGCTCTTTTGTCAGATTTGGAGTCTAATACAGTGCAAACTCATCGATAACCAAACCTAAAATTAACACATTGAAAGTGGGAGAATACTTGAATGAACTTATAAAAACTAGATGAATATATTATCATCAAATTATGTCAGGTTGATGATTCAGACTCTCGATAAATTAATAGATCGATGTCATGACCCGTAAACCCTTCTACCACTCAAAATTTGAGTGGTAGTAAATAGAACTTATATCATATCATCGATTTCTTTTTCATGAAAGAAAATATTCATCTATTCAAATCAATTCTCGCAAAAATACTCTCGCTGAGTTGGATTCAAAAGATAAAGCTTCTTTCATATATTCAAATCTCGCAAAAATATTTTCTCAGAGTTGGTTTCAAAAGATAAAGCTTTTTTTTAAAGGAGAGATATAATCCATCCTTAATGTCTGTACTGTGTTTGAATCCATAACACATATATGCATAATAGAGTGGCTAAGTGGCTAAGTGTTAGTAGCCCAAATTCTCTATATGGCAGTTAATGTTATATTATATGACCCTATTTAATTAGATAAAATATATTAATTCTCATCATGATCATAGTCCAATCGAAAAAAAGTATACTAGAATTTCTTATGAGATGATGAAAGATTCTCATAATTATTTATTTTAGATTCTCTGCTCATTTATAAAAAGGTACATAAGATATTCTATTTCATCTTCACTTTATTCGATAAATATTTTCTAATTTAAATATCTATTATTATTTGATTTTAAAATTTGATATTAATTTTTTTATATAATAAGTATATGTTTACTACCCGGGCATAGGGATTCTGGATCAGCAACCTTCTTGCAATTGCCAAAACCATGAGCATTTTTTCAAAAGAAGTCTAATTATAATATAATTTCTCATAATTATTTATCTTAGATCATATACTCTGTGTTACACAATTACGCAAGAGATCAAAACAAGATTGATATGATATTATAGATCTTATCTTCTCTCTCTCCTTATTTAAACAGAGATTACATATCTTATCTCATCTCCACTTTATTCGACGAAGATTTTCTGAACGAAAGATATGCATCGTAAATTTAAATATATATTATTATTTAATTTTAAAATTTGATATTAAATTTTTTATATAATAGTATATGTTTACTATCCGACCATAGGGATTATGGATCAGCAACCTTCTTGCAATTGCCAAAACCATGAGCATTTTTTCAAAAGAAGTCTAATTATAATATAATTTTTTATAATTATTTATCTTAGATCATATACTCGTGTTACACAATTACGCAAGAGATCAAAACAAGATTGATATGATATTATAGATCTTATCTTCTCTCATCTCCTTATTTAAACAGAGATTACATATTTCTATCATCTCTATTTTATTCGACAAAGATTTTCTGAACAACATAGAAAGATATACATCGTAAATTTAAATATATATTATTATTTAATTTTAAAATTTGATATTAAATTTTTTTATATAATAGTATATGTTTACTACCCGGGCATAGGGATTCTGGATCAGCAACCTTCTTGCAATTGCCAAAACCATGGGCGTTTTTGCCTCCGCAGCCACGTCTAGGAAAAGTCCCCACGACCATAGGCATCTTCATGGCAGCAAGGAGACCTGGTTGCGGTCCTCTGCAGGCTTGAGCTGTTTGTTCTCAGAACCCACCTCGAACAGCATCTTGATGACCGTCCTCATCGACGGACGACTGATGGGCAAGATGCTGGCGCAGAGGAGGCCAATGTCAAGGACCTTGCACATCTCGTCCTTGTAGCACACGTCGAGCTTGGGGTCGAGGACATGGTCCACTCCCCTCTGCTCCACCGTGCTCTGCACCCATCTCGCCAAGTCCTTTTCTCCCAGCTCGGGATCCACCGGACGTCTCCCCGTGACGAGCTCCAGAATGACCACGCCATAGCTGTATATATCACTCTTCTCGTTCACGCGGAGTGTGTATGCGTACTCTGCATCGCATGAAGACCATGATTGAGGAAATGGACTTGTGATCTGTGGCGTGGATGGAAATAGAACCTAACCTGGTGCGATGTATCCACACGAACCAGCGACGATGGACATGGACATTGGATCCTTGCCGACGATGGCCTTTGCAACGCCAAAATCTGCCACTTTGGCCCCGAATTCATCGTCCAACAAGATGTTGTTCGATTTAATATCTCTGTGAACGATCGGAGGAACGCAGTCATGGTGTAGATACGACAGACCCTCGGCAGCGTCCACCGCGATCTTGTACCTCGTCGGCCAGTCCAACAGCCGGCCCTTGCTGCCGTGCAGCAGGTCGCCTAAGCTCCCATGGGGCATGTACTCGTAAACCAGCAGCTTACAGTCCTTGTGCGTGCAACAACACCACAACTTGACGATGTTCTTGTGCCTGATCTTCCCCAAAGTGGCAACCTCGGCCTCGAATCCGTCGTCCACGCTTTGGAAGACATCGGTCTTCCCGGGCGTTTCCCGGAGCTTCTTCACTGCCACGACCTCTCCATTGCTGAGCACTGCCTTGTAGACCTTCCCGGAAGCACCGCTACCGATCACGTTGTCCTCGTCCAGGCAGCCCGCGATCTCGTACTCGCTGAAACCCAGTTTGTGGAAAGAAGTGAGCATCCAGTTGGGCTTTTCCGAAGCACGATTCACCTCCTTGGAACTCTGGTTCTTCCAGTAGAACCAGGCCGCTGCAGCAACAAGGGCCGAAGCGGAGAGGATGTAGATTGATCGAAGCAGCCAAGGGAATCCATAGCGAATAGAGTTGCCACCTCTTCTTTGACCGGCACAAGGCGCATTCACGTCGACGCACAGTCCCGGATTGCCCAAGAAGCTGTTTTCATAGATCCGCGTTGCGAACTGGGGAGGCAGAGTACCGGAAAGCTGATTGTTTGAGAGGTTGAAGTCGTTAAGCTTCAAGTTCTGCAACTCAAGGGGGATCGTCCCGGTAAGCTGGTTTCCGGAGAGGTCGAGATAGTTGAGCACCGGGAGGTCGCCCAGTTCAGGGGGTATCGAGCCAGTGAACTCGTTGTTGGCGAGGTTCAACCGGATGAGCTTTTTCCACCATCGAACTCCGCTAACGAGCTCGCCCGAGAGGGAATTGTTATGGAGATCAAGCAGCCCGAGCGATGCAAAGTTCACGAGCCCTTCAGGGAGCGGCCCTGTCAACCGGTTATTGGCAGCAGAGAACTCATACAGATTTGACAGAGCTCCCATTTCTTCTGGGATTCGACCTTCGAATTGATTGTTAGATATCACGAGTTTAGAGAGATTGGTGGCGCCGGAGATTGCCGGGGATATACCACCGGTGAAGGAGTTCCCAGCAAGCTCGAGAAGCCATACATGTGGCAAGCCCCAGAAAGCAGAGGGAACCTCGCCGGAGAGATGGTTGTTCAGCAGTCGGACTCGCGTAAGCGTTGAACACTGGCCTAGGCTCTCCGGCAGAGAACCGGAGAACATGTTGTCAAGCAAAAGAAGCTGATCCAGCATGTCACCACCACAAATCCCAGCCGGAATCTCTCCCGAGAGGAGATTATCCGAAAGATCGACGAACTTCAGTGGAGAATTCTTGCCAAAGTCGGCTGGGAGAGGCCCGTCAAGCTGGTTCGAGAACAGCCGGAGCTCCGCGAGGTTGTCGCAGCGGGTGATGGTGGAAGGGATTGCTCCGGTGAGGTTATTCTCGTAAAGGTGGAAACTTTCGAGGCTGGGAGCAAGAAATACGTCTTCAGGTATCTGCCCGGATAGCTGGTTCATGGAGGCATCAAAGAGCCGGAGCTCGGTGAGGTTCGACAGGCCGCTGGGAACGGGACCGGTGAGATGGTTGGAATAGAGCTCAATCTGGACGACAGAGGAGAGGACGGCGAGGGAATTGGGGATGTCCCCGGAGATCGAGTTGTAAGACAGGTCGAGGTCGGTGAGATTGGAAAGGCGGCCGAGAGACGGCGGAATGCTACCGATGAGGTTGCAGCTAGCGAGCCAGAGGACGCGAAGCGAGGTGAGGTTGGCCAACGAAGGAGGAAGTGGCGTGGGAGTGAAGAGGTTGTAAGAGAGGTTGAGTTCGTGAAGAGAGGAGAGGTTGGAGAGGAAAGCAGGCACGGGACCGGAGAGAAGATTGCCAACCAAAGAGAGGCTACGGAGAGAGGCGAACTGCCCGAATGAAGAAGGGATCGGACCAGAGAAGTTGTTGTCGGAGAGGTCGAGATATGAGAGGCGCGGGAGGAGGGAGGGAAGGAAGGCGGGGAGAGGCCCGGTGAAGAAGTTCTGCGAGAGGTCGAGGCGGGTGAGGGAGTAGCAGCCGAGGAAGGAGGAGGAGGAGAGGGAGGAGTTGAGGGAGTTGAGCGAGAGGGAGAGAGAGGATAGGTCGAGGAGGCGGCAGAGCGGGGAAGGGAATGGTCCGACAAGGCCGAGGTCCGACAGGTCGAGGGCGGTGACCGCGGGGAAGAGGGGAGGCGAGGCGCAGGTGACGCCGGTCCAGTTACAGGGGGTGGCGTCCGATGGGCTCCAGTCGGAGAGGGAGCTGTCGGGGTCGTCGAGGGAGCTCTTGGCGTCGAGGAGGTGAAGGCCATCTTGGGTGAGGGAGAGGGAACGAGAGGGAAGGAAACAGAAGAGGAGGAAGAGAGAGAGGAGCGCCGCCATGGCGGTGGTGTTCTCTGTGCCAAGCTTAAATGATTTGTAATGGCCCATCAATTATGTTGGATCAGTAAAAACACACCGTGCTTTATGTAACGGGGGATCTCCTTCGGATGGTGGAGGAAGAGACTGATAAAAACAAAATATTGAGATGTAGGTAAAAAATATTTTTAATAAAAAACAGCTAAAATAATATTAAATAAAAGATAAATTTAAAAATATTTATATATTTTTTTTCAAATGGACATTCTTTTTCTTGATGAATCATAGTCTTATTTATAAAATCTAATTATAATTATCTCACCTCGTTCATAATTAAGTTAGGTATAAGAACTATTATCATGATATTATTTTATGTCTCAAATTGATGTGCATGATTATGAATCAAGAGGAAGTATTGAGAATTGATTCATTGATAATTATATTATGTAGTTATCATGTTTTATATAGTTTTTACTCATGTTCTGCCTAAGTGGTATGTGATATAAGAAGTTGTTATCATCGGATAGTTTATAAGCCTAATGGTAACTATCTCGTTATAAGAAGTTGTTATCATCGGATATAAGAAGTTGTTATCATCGGATAGTTCACCCATAATTAAGTTAGGTATAGAAATTACCCATATAATAATTTCTTAGATCATGAGTCACTTAGGTAGAACTAATTAGAAAATGACTAGAGCTACCTAAGACATGATAGCTACATATGTAATTCTCAACAATCTCCTTTGATTTATAGTTACATATACCGATTTTAGATATGAAATAAACATGTTTTTGAAATGAAAATGATTTGATGGGAATATTTGTAATTTGTTTATATGTGTTATAATACATCATTTTTCCATGATAATGAATCTCTATATTCTTTATTTTTCAATAAAAGATTAGATTCTTCATCATTATAATTACGACTTTATTATCATAAAATATTTTATTTATTTATTATGAAGATATCTAAGAAATCATCTAATCTATATTGTTTAACAAGTTGCTAGTGTTACAACTACATATTCTACTTGTGATGTTGATAATACAATTGTTGCTCGCTTCTTTAAACTCTAAGATATAGCTCACGATCCAAGATTTAAAATATTACCTCAAGTACAATTTTTATCATCCGAACCTCTTGTTGATATTTCAAAATTCATAACATTTGCTTGATAAAATGAGGATAAAGAGTTGAGATATGGAATTATCGTTAAGAGTCATAATACCTAGTTCAGATTGAACTTAGAATATAATACCATAAATATTAATGATGAAGGAATAAGAAAATAATAAAATATAATACAACGATATAATTAAAAGAGAATATTTTTAATAAGAATAAAATAATATTAAACAAATGATAAAACTATTTTTTTTTTCAAATATATGTCTTTACTAATTTTATTTATAAAATATAATTATAACTATCTCATTCTATCATATTATTTATTATTAAATTAGGTATAAAGATTATCTTCTTAGTAATAACTTCTTGAATCACCCGTTACTTAGATGAAACTACTCATAAAATGATTAAAACTATCTTATAATATCATATTTTTCTACATATCAATTCTCAACTGACAAGAGGAGCAGTTAACGCAGCCGAGGTGCCACCTTCCATGGTTCCATCATTGGGAGGTCCTTTCGACGCGAGAGTGCGATGGTCGGTGGCCGCTCTTGGTTCACGCCACCAATGATGGCACTCCTCCCGCTGCACCTTTCGCGTGGAAGGGTGACGGAGACGGAGCACAACGCGTTTGCGTTCGCCTGTCACCGGCATCACCTTCTCTTCAGGTGCTGCTACGGTAAGCCAACAGCCGTCACCGTTCCGAATCATGCCGCGCAACTCTGACCGAACTGTACCTCGCTCATTCCTCCTCGCTAAATTATCATCACTTTTTTCTTTCGATATTTTTAGCACTATGTTTCTACCGAAATGATTCTAAAATACGGAAAATCTCTAATTGATCTAATGAAATACTTTTGCTGTTGGTGTAAACAACTTTGAGAGCCGTGGCCTCGGGGCCGACGCGGCTCGGTTCGGGTCCGGACGTCAGGGATCTCTCCGGGGCGTGCCTCGAGCCCGCGGGATCGGTCTGGTGCGATGGTCCGATCGGGACGGGGTCGCCGTCTCCTCCGGACAAGGGCTCGTCGTCCGCACGGTCGGCGGGGACCCTCGGCTTCGCACATGCACAAAGGTCGGGTCCAGAGGCTCGACCCGACCCCTCCGACGATCAAGTTAGCGGAAGATGTGGAGGGGGTTTCAGAAGGAGAAGTGTTTGTATGTGTGACCCCCCCCCCCTTCTCTGATGAACGAGAAGGTATTTATAGGGAAGCTTACTGCTGTTTGATGTGCCCGCCTGTAGGAGGTAGGCTGATACCGTATGACATGGGCGCTGGCATGGCGTGAAGAATCGCGCCTGAGTAGGCGTTAATACGCCTCGACCGGTGTTCCGGTTCGGTTGACCGAGTACAGTCGCGTCGATCGAGGCGTGAGGCGTTGGCTGACGTCAGCCGAGTCTTATCGTAATTACTATCCTCTTCATTTGCCAAATTAAATGATGAGCACCACGATCATACTGATGTGAGAAAAGAAGCGTTGGCTGACGTCATGATGTTGTCCTTTCGAAAATGACATGTTTGGAGATGTGATCAACGACACAATCATAATGGTTTGATGATGCGTAGAACAGACATATAGAACAAAACCAAAACATAATGGTTCGGAATAGTCTTATGAGATTTCAAGTTATCTTATCGTGCGCCTGCCTCTCACATGTATCGTTTTCAAGCCGTGCATACATATTGTCAAATTAGATTGACATGACTTGTCACCAACATGATTCGTGGAGCTTCTCCACTTGCTCGCTCATCATATCGGTCGAACATGATATCACTAATTCAAGTTTGATGTCAATTCGTTTCAAATTCGAAGTAAAAAAAAAAAGTCTTTAGTGAATTATGATTTATTATTATAAATAATTTATGTATTAATGTGAAATGTGTGTAAGAGGATTTACGTCATGATGAGCATAATATAAATATATTATAATTGATTTTACGTAATAAAGAATTCGGTTTATCTGATTTTTTTTTGAAAAAAAGAGAGAAAGAAAGAAAAAGATAGAATGATAAAGATGTATTGGTAGATACGAGTCCACGTGGATGGAAGCCCAACGCTTGTCCGCTTGGGGATGAATGGGACCAATGACTTATTGGATGCTCCTTTGTTCTCCTCTTGACGTTGAACGCATGGAATCACTTGAGCCGAAATCTTCCAAGCATCGAATCTCTATCGCCTTCCATGCATCAATTTTGGTGTCGAGTATCGATCAAAGATAGAAAAGATGCTGCCGCATTACCCTAAGAATATAATAATGCGACGGCCACGCATGAGGTACACATCGAGGCAACGCGTGTGAATATTAAAGTTGCAAGAGTTATCGATATTGTACGTACACTCAATCTAGTTAGATAGTAGAGCGTTAATAAAGTCAAAAAGAATCAAAATGCTCATCGAAGTTAATTAGATTTAAACTTTTTGGATTGTGATTAGAAAAGATTAATTAAGATTTATTGTTATAAATAAATCATATATCTCAAGAATTTAATGAGAGAGATATGGGGAAAGACACTTTGATTACTCTTCAAATATTCTTACGTGGATCTTCCACTTAGGTTTTGATTAACTCGCGAGATACATTATTTGTATTTTCACATGGTAAAATTTTGATTTTTCTTTGTAGATGTGGGTAGAAAGTATTAAAATACGTAAATTTTACTTCAATTTTAATATATATAATTTATCATTGATTTTTTTTTTGTTCCAGAGTCTTTTCTTCCACTTTTGGGAGGAAGAAAATATTTTGAAACTAAAAAAAAGAAACAAAAAATATATTAAAAATCGGTAAACATTAATGTGGTTCGACACTCCCTACCTACATTCATCGAAAAAAATTAATTTTTTTCATCATTTATAAACACTATATCTTAACTTAAATAGAAATTCTTAACAAAGGTATATTATACCTTTCTCAATGTATCATTTCTATTTCTCTCGTCATCAAAATATTTTCTCACATCTTATTCCATCATCAAAATATCGAGATTCATGACATATTTATAAAATAAATAAATATTAAATCATACGAGATATTTTTCCTACTTAAATTCATAATATGATCTAGTTTTAATCGTACTAACTATTAAATATTTGTCCTCTCATCTACCAACAATAATAATAATAATAATAAATACGGGTGAGATAAATATTAAATACGAGCATTCTTCATCAGATAATGATACAACTTAAACTTATTGGGTGGTTGGCAACTCTCTTCCAAATGTCTTTTGCTTTTGGAAACAAATGTACGACCGAGGAAGAGGACAAAGTTCTTGTGACCATTAGGTTCTCTCATGGCTGTTACCTAATTTAATTTTGCTATTTGTCCTGGACTTAAAAGTGATAATCCATCATGTAATTTGCTGCATCAAGTCTCTGTCAATCAAATCAAACCAAAAGTCACCTAAATTTTATAGTATTTATATCTAGAAAATGTTAATGAATTAATATCTGAATTTTTCAATAGTTGTTTCAAGGCAAATATTAAGGCTAATATATATATATATATATATATGTATATATGTATATATGTACATATATACATATATATATACATATATACATATATACATATATATAACTATACTAATATCAATTTTGATTGTTAACTCGATATAGCAAAGACTTGTGTTATTACATTCGGGAAACCCTCATACAGCAAAATGGTTTTACCAAAACATGTTTGATTTGATCGAGGGAGAAATTCTTCGTCTCCATCTCACCATAAATAAATATTATAAAACTATTGTAGAGATGTGTCTAACAACATCAGTTTAAATTATTATTGGTTTATATATAGGTATTGTTGATGAATAAATGTGTCGTGGCTGATGAGTTAGCACGGCTTGGTCCAGAGTCGAGGTCGGGAGTCTTTTGCCGGTTGAGCTGGATGCCAAGGTAGGTCGGGCCCTCGCGACGGGATGTTGATC